GATGTAGGTCTGCAATCCTAGCAGGAAACTGAGGTGGGAATGGAAAATTGAGGGCACAAAAGAATTCAGAGACAATCAGTAAGAAAAGAACTTCATCATCTGGGTGTGGTTACACATGTCCTTAAGTGCAGCATTTGGGAAACTGAGTCAGGAGATTGTGAGTATGAGGCTAGCCTGGGCTACATACCAAGCTGTGTTTCAAACAAAGAAATCGACTGCCACAACAAAACTCTAAAAGAATAAAAGAACTAGATAAAGAAAAGCAATGTTTTTCATGGTTTTTTGTTTCTCCCCATGTTTATACCTTAAATGAGCACATAATAAAGTATTTCCTGTATGTATCTTTGAAATCAGGAATTGAGGGTCTGTAACAACTTTACCAAACAAAAATAGTGACACTTATAATTACTCTGCCTTTTGGCTAAAGTAACAGTTTATCAGAAAAGTGTCCACAGAAAGGAGGCAATCCCTGTCACAGTTGTGGATTGAAATTGTAGCACTCCAGAGTCAGGGGCCAGCCTGAGTTACTTAGCAAGACCTTGTCTTGATAAAAACAAAAAGGCAAGAAAAGAAAAATATTTTCCCAATAGTTTTTTGAAGTTAAAATACAATTGAATCATTTTTTTTTCCATTCCCTTTCCTGATATCTTGAATAGCTTGGGGGCAGGGAGTTAAAACTAAACTTCTTTTAATCCTCCCTACACCTGTGATTTTCAAAACATGCTAAAATTGTTTTTAAAAATGAACTATCAGTTCTCAAAGTACCATTTTTGCCAGCCCCTTTTTCTCCTCCATTATTTTTAGAGGGCCATTCTACCTACATAGTTGTGAGTGCTGCGATGCTGTGTCTCAGAACGTCATATATAGTTAGAGACTAAATTATTGAATATCCTTGAAGAGTTTTCCTACTCTAGGGACCAAGGCCCCTCCCCTTTTTCTAAATTTTGCCAAGAATGAAAATTTCCAATCTCTAATTAAACAAATATGTTCATGCAATGAAGATACTTCTTTTTCCTGTCACCAATATGTAATAGCATATCCATCTTTGGTAGCTCTGTGCTTATAATATGATGGTTATAGCATAATTCCAAATGATATATATTCAGTTCTTGGCCCTGAATTCACTTGTAGAGTAGAGGATAACTTTGAACTCCTATTCTTCCCATGTCTACTTATGAAATACTGGGATAGTAGGCGTGTGCTGTCACACTCAGCCTTCCTTCTTATTTAATTATTTATTTTAATATTTTTTAAAGTCAGATTTGATAGTAATTTACCGGTAAGTTGGTAGATAAAAGCATAAAGGTCCATCCCGGTAGTAGCAGCAGATAGGAGTTGAGACAGGAGGATCATCTCAGGCTTATGAGTTTGAGGACCATTGGGCAACATAGTGAGTTCCAGGCTAGCCTGTGCTAAAAAGTTAAGAGTCTGTTTCAAAAAAATAAAAAATAAAATAAGACAATCCATACATAGCATTCTCATAAACAAAACTGTAGTATAACACAAAACTAAAGGGACATGTACATGCACCTGCACACACAGACATGAACATGCATACGTATGCATGAACACACAGAAGCATAAAACATGTATAAGTGAATATTAGAGTCTTAAAAGAGTAGAAGATAGCTCAGTGGGACAAATTTTTACTTAACCTTGATTGATTGATTGATTGATTGATTGATTGATTGATTGATTGGGTTTTTAAAAATTCATCTACTTATTTTACATCTTAGCCATAGTGTTGGTTGGATTTACTAATGTAACATTGCTTTGCCCACTGAGATATCTCATCTTTTAAAAAGATACAGTGTTTTTGCTAACATAGGTATACTATATCTATGTAAAACATCTTACTGTGAAGATACATTGATATTGTCAAAATAGACAAGAAATGACAAAATTATCTAGTAATTATCAGGAAGAAACTTGAGTTTCATAAATGACATTGGTTTCTGTATAAACTAGCATAAATCATTTTAACTTAAAGGGACATAAAATGCCAATATTTGTACTTTACTAAGGAAAATAATTTAGCTTCATTAAAAGATAATTTAGAGATTCTGCTTTTTAGAAATCTAGTTGAATGTTAATATTTCTAATTTAAGAGGTTCTGTTCTCGTAGAATTATTTTTACTAATGAGCAACAGCTTAAAAAAAAAACTTGTTTATTTGTGTGCATTTGTGTGTGGGCTTGTGCATGTGAGTGCAGGTACCCAAAGAAGCCAGAGTAGGTGTCAGATCTCCTGGAGCTAGAGTAGAAGGCTGCTGGGGACTGCTGTAAGCTGTCCAACTGGGTGCTGGGATCCAAACTCAGATCCTTTAAAGGAGCAGTGTGTGCTTTTCAGCATCCAGCTATCTGTCCAGCCCTAGTGAGCAGCATTTTTATGTAACCAATGTGTTCCTTCTTCTGTATTATATCCATTCTGTAGGATGGTACCATCTGTATGATACTCTTAAATGCAGTTGTATGAACAGCATAAAAATGTTCAAGAAACCTAAATTCTAATGGAAGGGTTTTTTTTCCTTGTATGCTACAAGCTAACAGTAATATTTTAATGCACAATTTACCTTTCAAACTAGCAAAATAACCTTTCTTTGAAACATAATATCCAGAAAAAACATACCTTTTAATACAGAATATAATTTCTAATGCTTTAATGCTAAACATTACCAAGAAAACCTAGAAAAATAAGACTTGCCATATGTATAAAATTATAGGCTTCAATGAATCATTGATTCAGTGGTCAAGATTCTTTTTCTTGTTATTTAACATAGTAGAAAGACCACCATTTTAGCTATGTCATGGATTCTGAAAGTAAATTGAATAACAATTTACCTTTTATAAACAAGGAAGCTACCCTCACCTTCTAGAAGATGTAAATCTAAATTACTTTGCATTCTTGGATAAATGCTGGATTTACTCTGATCTAAATGTTTAGTTAAAATGTTTCAGTGATAGTTCTGTTACTTTTGTTTTTTGAGAACGGCTCTCATTTTTGTAGCATAGACTAGCTTTGAACTCAGCTCTTCATCCCTCTGCCTCCCAAGTCCTAGATTAGATCCCTGTGCCAGCCACCATGCAGGCTTAGTTCTATACCTTTTAGCATTTATATTACAAGTGTAATAAATAGCAATGATAATCTCTTAAAATTCTGATTTTATTTTGCTGGTAGATACATTCTTTAATTTCTAGGCAACCTAAAGGGTTTATTTTTTTATTTATTTTTGTAATTTTGGTTTTTCAAGACAAGGTTTTTCTGTGTAACAGTCCTGGCTGTTCTGGAACTCACTCTGTATACCATGCTGGCCTCAAACTCAGAGATCTGCCTTCTTCTGTCTCTCAAGTGTTGGGATTAAAGGCATGTGCCACCACTAACCAGCAGGCTTTATAATGAGTTCATAGGCATTGTGTTAATTTCCACAATTACACTTTGAAAAAAAATATGTAGTATTTGATTTTGTATATCAATACCACATATTGTATATACATAACCACAATATACAATTGTGGTTGTATATTGGACTTAAATACTTAGCACTATAAGATTTTAAAACTAATGTAATAACATTAAGCCTTCTTCTGAAACTGCATTATAAACCTGAAAAGGAAAATTAATCCCTCTGGATTTCCCCATCCTTATCTGTAAGAAAATTAATTAGGCGATCTCTGAATCTCTATTTTGACTTCAGAAGCTGTACTTTTTATTATTTATTTTATTCCTATTTTATGTGCATTGGTGTTTTGCCCACATACATGTCTGTGTGAGGGTGTCGGATCCCTGGAACTGGAGTTACAGACAGTTGTAAGCTGCCATATGTGTGCTTGGAATTGAACCTGGGTCCTCTGTAAGAGCAGCCAGTGCTCTTAACTTCTGAGCCATCTCTCCAGCGCCCCAGAATCTGTACTTCTTAAAAAAGAGATGTCAGAAGTCATAGTTTCTAGAGTTTGGTGATAAATCATCATGACCAAAGGCAGGCTGGGGAGGAAGGGGGTAGTTTGAATTTATAGATTGTAGTCAGTCATTCAGAGAAGTCAGGGTAGGAACTCAAGGTGGGAACCTAGATGCAGGCACTGATGCAGAGGCTATGGAGGAATGATACTTAGTAGCTTGTTCCCTTTGGCTTGCTCAGGCTGCCTTTGTATGGCACCAAGGACCAGGACCTAATCAGTAACTAATCAAGAAGATGCACCAAAGGCTTGCCCATAGGCCAGTCTGGTGGGGGCATTTCTCAATTAAGGTTCCCTCTTTTCAAATGACTCTAGCCTGTGTCAAGTTGGCATAAAACTAATCAGCACAGTGGTTGTTTATGAGAAGGGCTACTCATAAGTAGGTAAGATTTCTCTATAGCAGATTTAAATATTTTTTATAAAAAAATTTTATGATGTACTGATCTTACTTTGTTTTTTTACTGATTGTATTTGATGGTAAATAATAGAATTTAAGATTATAGTAAATAAAGTTAAACAGAGTGCCCTGACAAATAGAACTTTAAGGAACAGAGGAGAGATTTCCATTGCTACAATATGTGGTCAACCAGATAGCAACAGTTGAGGAAAGGCAATGTCTTGCCCCTGCCTAACGGAGCAGAATTTCTAAAAGTCTACATGGAACACCTAGATAGCTTTGTGTGCTAAGATCTCTTTTCCCCTGCTTACAAACTGAATAGGAAAAACTAACAAGTCTGAATTGCTTGGTGTATTGGCACAGCTCTATCTTAAACTGCACTTCCAAGTGTTTCATCAACTTACTCTTCATATGCATGTTAACATCTTAAGTGTATTTGGTCATTTTCTAATTCATTGACACCACAAGCCTTGGGCCCATCATATTTTTGAAAAATCAACTATATATTTTTAATTGGTTTTCTTTAGTTGAACTTAAAAAACATTCAGTTTTTTTTTTATTTTAATTGGGAAGAAAATGCTTAGGTTGTGGGTGAAACAATTTGTGTATATTTCTATAGTTTCTACTATGTATACTTTTTGTCTTTTACAGATATTGATGACACTCAAATCCTTCCCCGCTCAACCAGAGTCAGACATTTTTCACAGAGTGAAGACACTGGAAATGAAGTTTTTGGAGCTTTGAATGAGGAACAGCCATTGCCTCGAAGCAGCAGCACTTCTGACATCGTGGAACCATTCACTGTTGAGCGAGCCAAAGGTGCAGTTCCTGTCGTTGACAGTTCATCCCGTCATGCTCCGAGCTTGCAGACTTCCACAGAGGCTTCTTCAATAACTAGATCCACTGAAAGCTACAGCACTGATACTCATAGTAGAGAGTCTTCTCTGGAAGTTGGTGATAGCATATATGACCATCTTTGTCATTTAATAGGTCCAGTAGAACTTGCAGATGCAGCTTTCGAACAAATCCAGTACATTGACCTTGAAGGAGACGATGATCTTCTTTCTTCCCTGAAAGAATACTTTAAGGAAAACCAGGAAAACCATAGTAAAAATGAGCTAGGTAAAGATACAGCTTCTCAGAAGGTGATTATTGCAGTAACTAGAGATGAAATACCATCTTTAGATAAACTAGAATACATAGGCCAGGAAATAAAATCAGAAAATCTCATGTCTTATGTTGGGACTCCTGAAAATACACCATTTCAAAAAGAACCAAGCTCAGCTGTCTTCACAAGTACTCTTGCACCTAACCAGTCAGTTAGTTTTTCAACAACACAAACTGCTGAAAAACCTAAGCAACTAAATCTTGATGAACAATCATCGGATCCTAGTTCAGATAGCCCTTGTGATAAGGAAAAAAGGAAACATCTGTATAGACAAACAGCCACAGAAGTAGATGGCTGTGTAGATATGACACTAGGTGAAAAGCTTAAGAGTATACAAGTTAATGAGAAAATCACCCCATATATAATGCATGCCAAGAAAACTGCACTAAAAGCACCAGTGAACCGCAGAATGCCTCATGTTTCAAACACTAGCAAGCTTTCTCCAACTAAGAGGAGCTTGTCTGAAACAGTAACTCATAGGGCCAAAATCATGAAAATTGCTGCTAAGAAACGAAATAGTGTTCATGTTACTTTTAGACCATCTACTGAGTCTGTCCAGTTTTATAATCCTCTGGAAAACAAAGAGGCTCCATGGAAGATGAGACTACGGAAGCTCAGTGGCTTTAGCAGTAGTAGCAATAGCAGTGCCAGCAACACACAGACCAGCTCAACTAGTGGTACAGACCTTGTAAAACCTGGTGTGTACAGACCTCTAGATACGATTGGTGCAGCATCAATTAGCAAAACAGTGAAGGAATCCATAGAGATTCCCACCACCACATCACAGAAAGAAGGAATTTCAAGTAACCAGTTAGGGAGTCGCAGTAATCTTAGGTCATCAAGTCATGAGGCAGGACTACAGCAGGGCTCCCTGGGTGGCGTTTATAAAACTGTTGTACATGCTCTTTCGAAGCCGAAGGCAAATGTTTCCCCACAGAGGCAGAACAGAATGCCACCAGAGGCTCCACTGAGGGATCTGTACAGTCATGTAATGGGCTATTTTGGAAGGAAAGCTGCAGGTGAGCACTAATAGTGTGCAGAGCGCAAAAGGAGAAAGACAGCACCAGTTTGGCTTAATGCAACTGAAGCAAGCTATAAGCAATCAAAAAGCTTTGGGATGGTCACTGCTTTCTCTCTGTTTGGTTATGCATGCGCCTTTCCCCAGCTGTATTTTTCCCAGCATACAATATTTATTTAAATTACTAATTTCCCTTATGAGGCATTTAGTTAAACCTCTTTGCTGCTGAACAACAAAATAGAAAGGTGAAGATACAGGAGCAAATTTAATGGCCTTTCAAAGGTCAAGTATTTTTCTGAGTGTGTACTGTGAGTCTTAAAGTTTACTCAGGAGTTGGCTGTACTTTCTTGCCCCACTACTTTATGTCTAAATGGGCATTAGCTGTATCTCATTGAATTTGCATATTCTTACTGTTGACTTAGTTGGTTTTGTATTTATTCTTTGGTAGAATGTTACTTTGACATCTAACATAACAGAAATCAAAGTCCTACAACCAGCACCAACTATACTTAACTAAACATTGAAGAGAAAAATCCTTTGTTTAATCTCGAAGACTTAGTCACTGTCTGTTTAAGGCATTTCGGGAAAAATTATGTAGGCCTTTAGTCTTTCGTTCTTGTGTATAGAATATATCTTTGAAAGATTTAAATCTTTATTGTGAGATTTTTAAATGTGCATTAAGGTTTCATAATAGCTAATCATTATTTCAAATGGAACCTAAATGTGCAGATTAGAAAAAGGAAGCAAGATTGTAGTAACCATTTTATCTTGTTTCAAAATTAAACAACTTTAGAGAAACTTTCAGCAGTAAGGTCGGTTTTGATTTCATTTGTTTTAACATGGTTTTGTTAGCATGATTAACAACGCTGTATAATGCATCTTGCATTGAGCCATTAATGCCACTTGAGGGCAGTATATTACAGCTTAGCAAAGCCTGGCCAGTAATATAAAGACAATGGTATTGCACAGTCTGAAATTCTTTGTGGTTCAGTAGGGATATAAATAACACTGGTTTTTGTTCTACAGAGAAACGAACTTTTCAACAGTATGACAGTGACATAATTATTTTTCACAAGCTAGTTTTCCAAGTGAAAATAATTGTTAGTATAAACTTATATTACAGTGTTAATGTTAAGTAAATTAAGTATTTTGGTTTTATTTTTTTCTTGAATCTTGTGAAAATTGAATCTTTTTTTCCTTCAAGCACAGAGGTTAGACTTTAGACTAAATCTGAAACACAGTATACCAAATCATGAAATTTTAATTTGTATCCAAACCTAAGTGTATTTATGTCTCTCTGAGATTTGCGTGAATTGAAAGGATATATTCCTTGCAGTTATTCTCTGGGAAAAGAGGAAGATTGTGAATTACTAAGGCTCTATATCAGCATAGAGTAGGAAGAAAAAAAAATATACCAGTTTCTTTATAGGCAATATTAACCCTGACTTCAACTAGTGCTTACCTCTAGCTTTCTTGCTGTTTAAGGTCATACTGAAGATTGACTAACATCTGCTTAGTTAAATAAAGTAAATACAATTTACTAATTCTTAAAAATTAAATCTGAAAGGAGGGAAATTATTCGTAAGTGCATGTTTGGCAAATAATTGATATGGCAGAGGTACTTTATTTTGGATTATTTTGTTTCAAATTTAGAAGATACAGTTAAGTTGTTGCTTATTATATTTAGTTATTTATTTGCTTCTAGTAAATAAAGAGGACACGAGCCCCAAGCTGCCTCCTCTTAATAGTGACACTGGCGGCAGCAGTGCTAATGTTCCTGACCTGATGGATGAGTTCATAGCAGAGCGGCTTCGAAGTGGGAATGCCTCGGTGAGCTCGATTTTTGTTTAATTCATTGGGCTTTTGAAACAAAGATAGAAAACTAAAAAGATAGGTATAATGTATATGTGGAGATTTTTATTCAAAACTTAATTTCCTGAAATTTAACCCTGACTTGTGAGGTAATTAAAGCATTTTAACGTGAATTTATTTGTTTTATGTGTGTATATATGTGGGTGCATGTGTGCCATAGCATGCATGTGAGGACAGCTTATAAGAGGTAGTTCTTGCTTCTGCCCTGTTTGTCATCCTTCATCCTTACAACTTTTTAAAGCTGTTACAAAGTTCTACCCAGCTGCTCAGGAGGCTGAGGCAGGAAGACAGCTAGCTAGTTCAAGGCCTTGCCTGGGTACAATGTAAGTTCAAAGCCAGCCTGTTCAACTTGTGTGGCCCAGTCTTATAAAAAGTCAAAAGAGAGCTGACTGGACCTCAGTGATAAATACAGTGTTTGACTGGCGTTCATAAATCCTTAGGTCAGATCCCAGAAGTGGAGGGGGGAAGTAGAGGGAGATGAGAGAGATTTAAATTAAAGTTCTTTTAATTACTGTTTTTATTCAAAGACATAAAACATTGAAGCTTGTAGCTTTCACTACAGATACACTGGACTTCTATTAGTAGTTGTAAGCTGCTTCCTTCCTAGTTCCCTTTACTTTCTTTCGAGGTTGGTATCACCTGCTAACTGTCAATAGGAAAGAATACAGAAGTCACTTAGCCCAGTTTTGATATCATAAATATCGCTTAAACAATTGTGATTACTCTAGAATCGAATCGATGTTAAAATTTACCTTTTATCTTAAATATTAAATATCAGAATGAAAGTAGAAGCTAATGTTATCTCTAATTCTCAATTGCAGAATTGCTTTTAAAAACTGTCATATTCCATTGGGTTTTAATTTATCTACAACTGTTACATTCCTTTTATTTGAGTTTTTTCTTTGAATGAGTAAGAATTATTTTGGAATCAGAAAATGACATCTTTGCTATCTTTTCCCTTACTGTCTCTTCGGTTTGCTTCTTTGTTCCACTGTGAACTTTATTTTTCTTCTGTTTAAGAGCCTTAGACCCAGCACCATCTCACCTGATATTCAGGCCTTTGCTTTAAGTAGAACTACAGTAGCTTGGGCATCAGGTACATGTCATTACATACTTTTTAGATTGTTCAACAAGTATGTTTTTCCTTTCCAACTGAGGTCCTAACTATCAGCATTTATAATGATGATTGTCTTGAAAACTAAAGGTTTCGGTACTTAATTAAAATTAAAAACAAGATTTTAATTATAAAAATGTTTCTTGTTTTAGACTATGACAAGAAGGGGAAGTAGTCCAGGCAGCCTTGAAATTCCGAAAGACCTCCCTGACATTCTAAACAAGCAGAACCAGATGCGTCCTGTTGATGACCCAGGTGTACCCTCAGCTCAGAAGGTGATTATTGCAGTAACTAGAGATGAAATACCATCTTTAGATAAACTAGAATACATAGGCCAGGAAATAAAATCAGAAAATCTCATGTCTTATGTTGGGACTCCTGAAAATACACCATTTCAAAAAGAACCAAGCTCAGCTGTCTTCACAAGTACTCTTGCACCTAACCAGTCAGTTAGTTTTTCAACAACACAAACTGCTGAAAAACCTAAGCAACTAAATCTTGATGAACAATCATCGGATCCTAGTTCAGATAGCCCTTGTGATAAGGAAAAAAGGAAACATCTGTATAGACAAACAGCCACAGAAGTAGATGGCTGTGTAGATATGACACTAGGTGAAAAGCTTAAGAGTATACAAGTTAATGAGAAAATCACCCCATATATAATGCATGCCAAGAAAACTGCACTAAAAGCACCAGTGAACCGCAGAATGCCTCATGTTTCAAACACTAGCAAGCTTTCTCCAACTAAGAGGAGCTTGTCTGAAACAGTAACTCATAGGGCCAAAATCATGAAAATTGCTGCTAAGAAACGAAATAGTGTTCATGTTACTTTTAGACCATCTACTGAGTCTGTCCAGTTTTATAATCCTCTGGAAAACAAAGAGGCTCCATGGAAGATGAGACTACGGAAGCTCAGTGGCTTTAGCAGTAGTAGCAATAGCAGTGCCAGCAACACACAGACCAGCTCAACTAGTGGTACAGACCTTGTAAAACCTGGTGTGTACAGACCTCTAGATACGATTGGTGCAGCATCAATTAGCAAAACAGTGAAGGAATCCATAGAGATTCCCACCACCACATCACAGAAAGAAGGAATTTCAAGTAACCAGTTAGGGAGTCGCAGTAATCTTAGGTCATCAAGTCATGAGGCAGGACTACAGCAGGGCTCCCTGGGTGGCGTTTATAAAACTGTTGTACATGCTCTTTCGAAGCCGAAGGCAAATGTTTCCCCACAGAGGCAGAACAGAATGCCACCAGAGGCTCCACTGAGGGATCTGTACAGTCATGTAATGGGCTATTTTGGAAGGAAAGCTGCAGGTGAGCACTAATAGTGTGCAGAGCGCAAAAGGAGAAAGACAGCACCAGTTTGGCTTAATGCAACTGAAGCAAGCTATAAGCAATCAAAAAGCTTTGGGATGGTCACTGCTTTCTCTCTGTTTGGTTATGCATGCGCCTTTCCCCAGCTGTATTTTTCCCAGCATACAATATTTATTTAAATTACTAATTTCCCTTATGAGGCATTTAGTTAAACCTCTTTGCTGCTGAACAACAAAATAGAAAGGTGAAGATACAGGAGCAAATTTAATGGCCTTTCAAAGGTCAAGTATTTTTCTGAGTGTGTACTGTGAGTCTTAAAGTTTACTCAGGAGTTGGCTGTACTTTCTTGCCCCACTACTTTATGTCTAAATGGGCATTAGCTGTATCTCATTGAATTTGCATATTCTTACTGTTGACTTAGTTGGTTTTGTATTTATTCTTTGGTAGAATGTTACTTTGACATCTAACATAACAGAAATCAAAGTCCTACAACCAGCACCAACTATACTTAACTAAACATTGAAGAGAAAAATCCTTTGTTTAATCTCGAAGACTTAGTCACTGTCTGTTTAAGGCATTTCGGGAAAAATTATGTAGGCCTTTAGTCTTTCGTTCTTGTGTATAGAATATATCTTTGAAAGATTTAAATCTTTATTGTGAGATTTTTAAATGTGCATTAAGGTTTCATAATAGCTAATCATTATTTCAAATGGAACCTAAATGTGCAGATTAGAAAAAGGAAGCAAGATTGTAGTAACCATTTTATCTTGTTTCAAAATTAAACAACTTTAGAGAAACTTTCAGCAGTAAGGTCGGTTTTGATTTCATTTGTTTTAACATGGTTTTGTTAGCATGATTAACAACGCTGTATAATGCATCTTGCATTGAGCCATTAATGCCACTTGAGGGCAGTATATTACAGCTTAGCAAAGCCTGGCCAGTAATATAAAGACAATGGTATTGCACAGTCTGAAATTCTTTGTGGTTCAGTAGGGATATAAATAACACTGGTTTTTGTTCTACAGAGAAACGAACTTTTCAACAGTATGACAGTGACATAATTATTTTTCACAAGCTAGTTTTCCAAGTGAAAATAATTGTTAGTATAAACTTATATTACAGTGTTAATGTTAAGTAAATTAAGTATTTTGGTTTTATTTTTTTCTTGAATCTTGTGAAAATTGAATCTTTTTTTCCTTCAAGCACAGAGGTTAGACTTTAGACTAAATCTGAAACACAGTATACCAAATCATGAAATTTTAATTTGTATCCAAACCTAAGTGTATTTATGTCTCTCTGAGATTTGCGTGAATTGAAAGGATATATTCCTTGCAGTTATTCTCTGGGAAAAGAGGAAGATTGTGAATTACTAAGGCTCTATATCAGCATAGAGTAGGAAGAAAAAAAAATATACCAGTTTCTTTATAGGCAATATTAACCCTGACTTCAACTAGTGCTTACCTCTAGCTTTCTTGCTGTTTAAGGTCATACTGAAGATTGACTAACATCTGCTTAGTTAAATAAAGTAAATACAATTTACTAATTCTTAAAAATTAAATCTGAAAGGAGGGAAATTATTCGTAAGTGCATGTTTGGCAAATAATTGATATGGCAGAGGTACTTTATTTTGGATTATTTTGTTTCAAATTTAGAAGATACAGTTAAGTTGTTGCTTATTATATTTAGTTATTTATTTGCTTCTAGTAAATAAAGAGGACACGAGCCCCAAGCTGCCTCCTCTTAATAGTGACACTGGCGGCAGCAGTGCTAATGTTCCTGACCTGATGGATGAGTTCATAGCAGAGCGGCTTCGAAGTGGGAATGCCTCGGTGAGCTCGATTTTTGTTTAATTCATTGGGCTTTTGAAACAAAGATAGAAAACTAAAAAGATAGGTATAATGTATATGTGGAGATTTTTATTCAAAACTTAATTTCCTGAAATTTAACCCTGACTTGTGAGGTAATTAAAGCATTTTAACGTGAATTTATTTGTTTTATGTGTGTATATATGTGGGTGCATGTGTGCCATAGCATGCATGTGAGGACAGCTTATAAGAGGTAGTTCTTGCTTCTGCCCTGTTTGTCATCCTTCATCCTTACAACGCTTTAAAGCTGTTACAAAGTTCTACCCAGCTGCTCAGGAGGCTGAGGCAGGAAGACAGCTAGCTAGTTCAAGGCCTTGCCTGGGTACAATGTAAGTTCAAAGCCAGCCTGTTCAACTTGTGTGGCCCAGTCTTATAAAAAGTCAAAAGAGAGCTGACTGGACCTCAGTGATAAATACAGTGTTTGACTGGCGTTCATAAATCCTTAGGTCAGATCCCAGAAGTGGAGGGGGGAAGTAGAGGGAGATGAGAGAGATTTAAATTAAAATTCTTTTAATTACTGTTTTTATTCAAAGACATAAAACATTGAAGCTTGTAGCTTTCACTACAGATACACTGGACTTCTATTAGTAGTTGTAAGCTGCTTCCTTCCTAGTTCCCTTTACTTTCTTTCGAGGTTGGTATCACCTGCTAACTGTCAATAGGAAAGAATACAGAAGTCACTTAGCCCAGTTTTGATATCATAAATATCGCTTAAACAATTGTGATTACTCTAGAATCGAATCGATGTTAAAATTTACCTTTTATCTTAAATATTAAATATCAGAATGAAAGTAGAAGCTAATGTTATCTCTAATTCTCAATTGCAGAATTGCTTTTAAAAACTGTCATATTCCATTGGGTTTTAATTTATCTACAACTGTTACATTCCTTTTATTTGAGTTTTTTCTTTGAGTGAGTAAGAATTATTTTGGAATCAGAAAATGACATCTTTGCTATCTTTTCCCTTACTGTCTCTTCGGTTTGCTTCTTTGTTCCACTGTGAACTTTATTTTTCTTCTGTTTAAGAGCCTTAGACCCAGCACCATCTCACCTGATATTCAGGCCTTTGCTTTAAGTAGAACTACAGTAGCTTGGGCATCAGGTACATGTCATTACATACTTTTTAGATTGTTCAACAAGTATGTTTTTCCTTTCCAACTGAGGTCCTAACTATCAGCATTTATAATGATGATTGTCTTGAAAACTAAAGGTTTCGGTACTTAATTAAAATTAAAAACAAGATTTTAATTATAAAAATGTTTCTTGTTTTAGACTATGACAAGAAGGGGAAGTAGTCCAGGCAGCCTTGAAATTCCGAAAGACCTCCCTGACATTCTAAACAAGCAGAACCAGATGCGTCCTGTTGATGACCCAGGTGTACCCTCAGAATGGACATCTCCTGCCAGTGCAGGGAGCAGTGATCTTATGAGCTCGGATAGTCATTCGGATTCTTTCAGTGCTTTCCAGTGTGACGGACGAAAGTTTGACAGCAAGTATCTTTTACTGTTGGATTATATGCTTTCTGTCTGTTGTTTTCTGTGGGTTGTATATCTTTTACTTTGCTCTCTGTTGTTACTTGGGTAGCTGTTACCCTGTATGTTGACTTCACAAATTCTAAAGTTTTAGGGAATCATCTCAGGTTGAGACCATTTTACTTTGGAAAAAAAGGGGGGGAATTTTTAAAAAACCAAAACCACTGTCCATCATAAGTTACATAATAAAGACAAAAGATGTGAAAAGAAAAATTATGTAGAATGGAGTTAAAATAAAGGGCCAGCATGGTTATGAGATGCTGTGATTTAATGCACTCATATTTGATGCTTGCTGTCCAATTCTGTTCTACCCAGACCCTTCCTTGAATATTCCTCCATATTAAATAGCAGCAGCTCTTATTTGATACTATGTGTCACTGCATCATTACGATGCTGAAATTCTCACCACACATGGCATTCAGAGAATAAAGTAAAAACCTTTGGGAATCAGGTTTGTGAAGAGCGAGGAGGTACATTGGAGTGTTGTATGTTTCCTTTTTTTTTTATGGGTTGATTGTATACTATCCTGAGCTCAAACAACTGACATTTTAAGAGATAATGATATATGTTTGAGAGAGACAGACAGACAGATTTATAAACTACTTAAAAAGTAGTAAGAGTATTACCAGCTATCAGAAACTACATAAGAATGACATTTTAAAATAATTATTACTAATAATAAGCTATTACAATTTTAAAATGTTTTTAGTTGAGATTTTCAGAGTTTTTCTACTGTTTACCCTTGCCAGAATGTAATGCAAAGAGTAGACTAGGGAGAATGTGAATATTTGATTATTGTGTTGCTGTAGTACTAGCATTTCTTCTTCCTACAGACTTTGGCTTTGGAACTGACATTGGGATTCCGTCCTCTGCTGATATGGATTCAGGTTCTGGCCATCATCAGAGCACTGAGGAGCAGGAAGTGGCTAGCCTAACAACACTTCATTTAGATTCAGAAACAAGCAGCCTTAATCAGCAAGCCTTTTTGGCTGAAGTTGCAACAGTTACTGGTAAAGTAATTCCAGGGAATGTTACTAAATCTTGACCTCTAAACTGTCAAAGAATCTGGTTAAGTTTCTACAGCTTGTATGTCCTACCTACTGCTATTTCTTTCTTTTTTTTTTTTTTTAATTTTTGGTTTTTCAAGACAGGGTTATCCTACTGCTATTTCTTTCTTTCTTTTTTTTTTTTTTTAATTTTTGGTTTTTCAAGACAGGGTTTCTCTCTGTAGCTTTGGAACCTACCTTGGCACTCACTCTGGAGACCAGGCTGACCTCAAACTCTCAGAGATCTGCCTGCCTCTGCCTCCCAAGTGCTGGGATTATTAAAGGTGTGCACCACCAATGCCTTTTGATATCTTAAAATTATGTATTATTGGTATTTGGAATATTATGTCTTAGGTAGGATACTGAGTACATTCTTCACGGTAATTTTATGAAATTATCTTTACAGGTTCAGAAAGTGCTTCTCCAGTTCATTCAGCTCTGGGATCCAGATCACAGACACCTTCCCCATCTACACTAAATATAGATCACATGGTACAGAAGGATCTGCAGCTGGATGAGAAGCTCCACCACTCTGTTCTGCAGACGCCAGATGATCTAGGCAATGTTTGCAACTCAGATATTTGCTATTCTTACAGAGTATTAGTGTCAGGAAAGCTTAAGTCATCTTAGCTGAGATTATTTATACTTATTTTAAGTCTTTGACTTTTCTGTGTCATCTATTGTTTTTCTTGACCATAAAAGGGGATATTATTAAAATAGCTCTAATTTTTTTTTACAATTTATCATAGTTTTTAACAGCCTTTTAATTAGTGATAGTGATTGTGCCATTTGTGTTGTGTGGTTTATTGATATGGTATTTATCCTCTCCCTCTCCCTGCCCCCCTCTTTCCCTCCCTCTTCCCCTCTCTTTCTTTTTTTTAAGACAGGGGTTCACTGTGTATCCCTGACTGGCCTGGCCTGGCCTGAAATTCACAGAGGTCTGCTGCCTCTGCCTTACAATTTCTGGGATTAAAAGCATGTCACCATGCCTGGTTCCTTGCTTTAAAATTTTGGCATTGAGACAGGGTGTGCACTACAGCCCAGGTTGGCCTCTAACTCCTCATTCTCCTGCCTCGGCTTCCTAAGTGCTGGAATTAAAAGTGTGCTCACCATGCTTCAGGTCTCTTAATATTGTACTTGAGTGTCATGCTTATTCACAGGAGAGGAAGCAGCAAACCTATCTTTTGTCAGCAAGGCTTTCAGTAAAACAGTTTGTCAAATTAGTAATTTTACCTAATTTTTTTTCAATGCAGGTAACTGAAAACCTTGTTTTCAAAAACAAAAAATTGTCAGATAAATACTTGACACATATTCTGAACATTAATCAAGGACATAGTTGGCAAAATATTTATTTATCAGTCATATAAAAGTCTATTTTTATTATCCATGTAACACATTTACTCTTACCAAAGGAAGAAATGAAAGCTGTTTTACTCCTAGATTACCTTAAAGGGCTCATTCCATTCTTCTTCTCTATATATATTCCTGAAATTTATATTATTTGTTTTTCCATGTATTGTTGGTGTTTGATCAAAAATAGATTCTTCTCTCCTATAATACATTCTGACCACCATTTTCCCTCTCTCCACTCCTCCCAGCTCCTCCCCTCCCATTTCTCTTCTCCTCCAGATCCACTCCCCCTACCTTTCCTCTTCAGAAAAGAGACAGCAGCCAAACAGGACAAAACAAGATAGCATAAGTATATGAGAGCAAAATCACTCCTATAGAAGCTGGACAATAGGAGAAAAGAGTCCCAAGAGCAAGCAAAGGAGTCAGAGACACACCCACTCCCACTGTTAGGAGTCCCACAAAAACACCAAACTAACAGCTGTAATATATGCAGAGAAAACTGTTGCAGACCCATTCAGGCCCTGTGATCTCTGTGAGCCAATGTGAACACTGTCTAGTTGATTGGCTGGGTCATGCTCTCCTAGTGTTCTCCATCCCCTCTGATTCCTACATTTTTTCCTCTCCATCTTCCCCTGAGGTTCCTGGATCTCTGAGGAGAGGGACCTGATGGAAACCTCCAATTTAGACTCTCTTTCCACATAATTTCTGGCTATGGGTCTCTGAACCTGCCATCATCTGCTGCTGGAGGAAGCCTCTCTGTTGATGACTGAACAAGGCACCAATCTATAAGTATAGCAGGATATCACTAGGAATTATTTCAATGACTTAGTAATAGTAGTGGTAGTATTTATTTGCCAGTTGTTTGGTCTCTGGGCTATCTAGTCTCCTGTTCCTGGCCATCCAGGCAGTATAGGACATGGGCTCCCTTTCTTGGTATGGGCCTCAACTTAAACTAAACATTGGTTGGCCATTCTGACAAGTTCTGTTCCACCATTACCCCAGCGCATCTTGCAGGCAGGGCCAATTGTAGATGGAGGGTTTTGTGGCTAGGTTGATGTCCAGGCTTCTCTTTCTCTAGCCTGCCTAGTACCATCCTACATCAAAGAGATTAGAACATAGGGGTAAAGGCTCCAAGATGTAGGACCAGCTCAACCCCTCTATGTTCAGTGAGCTGTGTGGATGTTGTTCTCTGCAGTGGGGCCCTGCTGTCAGTTTTCAGAGAATGACCTGTCCTAGCATCAACCTGGGTTGTTTAGGGATGTCTACGGGACCTCCTTGGCCAACAGCTCAACCAAATACAACACGGTCCCATCACTGGAAGCCTTGCCTGGCCACAAAAGATGGCCACTTCAGATTCCATATCCTCCATTATTAGGAGTTCTCACTAGGTTTGCCCTCATAAATTCCAGGAAGTTTCCACTGTATTAAGTTTCTACACTGCCCTTCAACGCCCCCCAATTTCAGGTGTCTCTCCCTGCACTGTCCCCCCCCCCATACACCTGATCCCTCCCGCTCCAGTTCCCACCTGCAAACTCTATTCCATTACTCCTTCCCAGAGTGGTCCATACAGCCCCGCTAGAGGAAAGGGCTCATTCCTTAATGTGCAGCTATGTAACTCCTAAGTTATATAACTTCTGCTTTGTGGGTTGTTGTGACCTTTAACATTTGTTTGTATACCATTTTCCACGATTTGGAAGAAAAATTTTAAATTACAAAACAATTAACATGACTAGTTTTAAAATATCCATTAATCATTTATATAAATTTTAACAGGCTGTTACCATTTTGCCATTTTTTATCTGTTTTTCCTCACATAATTTAAATTTTTAAATATTTTATACCTCTAAACTTATATAGATCTATCCCAAAAATGTGTGAGTGCTTCCTCTGTAGCCACAATGTGAGCTTCATTCACAATATTTAACATCAGTTACCGTCCTTTTAGCTATAGTACATTTCTTCAGTTATCCCATTAATGTCATTTGTAGCTACTCCACACAACTTGATCCAGATTTTAACCAAATACTGTTTATTGTTTCTTGCCCTTTTAATTATTTAATATTTTGTAGTTTTATTTGAGAAGATTAAGTTATAGAGAAATAAATTAATTCATCTCAGTATACATGCACTATGTGTGTATGTATGTATGTATGTATGTATGTATGTATGTATGTATGTATAACGATGCTTAGAATAAGAAGTGCATTACAACTCTATGTGGTTAGAGCCTTATTCTCTTTCTGTTTTTTTTTTTTTTTGATTTACTGCTTTATACCAAAAGCCTATTTTTTATTCTGAAGATTAACTATATAGTACCTGTTAAATGGTATTCGTTTTTGAATAATTTATATGCAAAGATAAAATTTAAGCATTACAATACAAGCTCTTGTAAAAAAAATGGACTGACTATAAATTATCAATATATTTGGGATATTAGCAAACATAAAAGATCCTATTTGAGCTGGGTGGTGGTGGCACATACACCTTTAGTCCCAGCACTCAGGAGGCAGAGGCAGGTGAATCTCCTGAGTTTGAGGCCTGCATGGTCTACAAATTGAGTTCCAGGGTAGCTAGGGCTACACAGAAATTCTCTGTCTTGAAAAACCAAAAACAAAAAAGAACCTGTTTAAGATTCTTTTAGTCTACAGCTACAAGGAAATCAACGTTTCTGCTTATTCTTGTTTAGTTGTTTACTGACAGGTCTCACTGTGTAGCTAAGCTGAAAGTCTAAGCTGGCCTTGAATTGGCAAAGATTGTTCTGCCTCAGCTTTGCTAAGAGCTTGGAATACAGGCATGAGCCACCATTTATACTTTCTTAGAATTCCCTATACAATTGTATGAATTAAATAATGGATTTTTTAAGGTGAAAAAAGACTTTAGTAATATCCATTTTATAACTAAAGAAGTATATAGCCTTAAGTCATTAAAATAATTTGTTTAATGTGATTAGTGGCAAAAATAAGAGTAAGATCAAGGTTACCTGTATTTATTGTTTTTCACCTTGTCAGTATTAAAGATAAAAAGCATAATTATGCTGGGCAGTGGTGGCATGAGGCAGAGGCAGGCAGATCTCTGAGTTTGAGGCCAGCCTGGTCTACAGAACTAGTTCCAGGACAGCCAGGGCTACATAGCGAAACCTGTCTCAGAAAACAAAAATAAACAACAACAAAAGATGCATAATTATACCAACTGCTATTATGTTCAAATTTTAGTACAAGTGTCTTGTACGTTATGATACCTTTTTCAATGCCACTGTGTAGACACTCTTGCTACAAAGAAATCGGCTTATGGAGACTTCCTACAGGAATTATTTTTTAGTCTAAGATTTTCTGCTTGATTACTTAATATCTAAAATAGATATTAAGTAAGGTGAATGTGTTCTTATAAAATTGATATTTATGTCCCACATACATTTCTCTGTCACAGGCCAGTAAGATGGCCCAATGGGTAAAAGCACTCGTAGCACAATTCCCATAACCTGCCTTCAATCCCCAGAACCCACAGTATAAGGAGAGAACCAACTCTACACACACACACACACACACACACACACACACATGAGCTCTCACACATCACACACATGCACGGATAAGTTCTCTTTTTGTAGCTGCACAATAAGTGGTAGTTGCATTTTTTTTCTTCAGTAAATCTCAATAAAAACCCTACTAATAAGAAATTATTACCAACATAGGGAATTACGAATTGGTAGGTTTTGGCATTATCAGGAAAAATTACTTATACTTACATTCCTTTTATTCATATTTGTAGATATTTAAGATTATTCACCAAAGTTGGCTCTTTTGGATACTGACACTATTGTGTTATGTTTTCCTGTAGAAATCAGTGAATTTCCATCTGAATGCTGTAGCGTGATGGCAGGAGGTACTCTCACTGGGTGGCATGCTGATGTTGCTACTGTTATGTGGCGAAGAATGCTGGGCATTCTGGGAGATGTCAATGCTATTATGGACCCTGAAATACATGCTCAAGTGTTTGATTACCTCTGTGAACTTTGGCAGAATCTAGCTAAGGTGAGAAAAAGTAAAGGCTATAAGAGGAAAAGGAAAGAATGTTAAAGTATTAATAAATAGAAGAAGACCAGGTGTGGTGGTGCACACCTTAAAGTCTGGCACTTGGAAGACTGAGACAGGATCATGAGGTAGCAGCTATGCTGGGCTACATAGCAGATTCCAGGCCAGCCTCATCTATCCTGTCTCAAGAAACAACAAGCGCCGCCCACTCCTACCCCACCCCCCAACATGAAGAGGCCTTTGAGAACACATTACAACCTTGATCTTGGTTTTAAATAAGCTAATACTCACCATGGTGAAGTCACTTGGCCACAATAGCCATAATGAAATAGGTTGGTATGGTAGAGACTGGATTTGACTTCTGTTTAAGGTAAAACAACTAAAAGAGGAAATAGTTTAATACATGTTTGTTACCTTTTATTTGAAAATTATAGATCAGAGATAATCTTGGCATTTCAGCAGATAACCTGACTTCACCCTCTCCACCTGTTTTGATTCCTCCACTAAGAATTCTTACACCGTGGCTTTTTAAGGTAAGCTTGATGTGTAAAATATTAATATATTTTCTTTAATGAATCAGTCTTGATCATTTGATGGAAATTTTAACAGTTATTTGATCTTTAAGCACATTAAATTTTTAACCAGTATCTTTAAGAAATTTTGCAAAGAGAGGAGAGTTAGGCATAGCAGAATCACATTATTATTTATTTAATAAAACAAAAGTAAGTGTAGAAAAGTATGTCTTAAATGTTTTTAAATGCATTTACTTATTTTTATTCATTTCCCTCCTATTAGGGATCTAACCCAAGCCCTTGCACATGCTAGACAAGTGCTATGGCACTGAACTGTACCCACAGCTCTATAAGAGTCTGTCTTCATTGTATTTAAATAAAAAATAAAGCACAAACCATAAAGTTTTAGAGATTTATTTCTTTGAAATATTATTTGATGTTTGGTGTGTTTTTTCAAGTGTAGTCGTCTGTGATTATTCATGTGTACACTGAATCTTTTCAGGTAACAGTAGTTTCCCTAGTCCTGACTTCTAGTTCATTAACAAATTTGGACCAACAAAGAAATATATAAAAAGAGATATTGCTTATTATATTCAATTGTTTAAATATTTATAAACAATATTGTTTTTAGTATTAAAACTGATTTCTTAATTTTAGGCAACCATGTTGACTGATAAGTATAAACAAGGTAAATTACATGCATATAAACTTATTTGTAATACAATGAAGAGAAGACAAGATGTATCTCCAAATAGAGATTTTTTAACACATTTCTACAATATAATGCATTGTGGATTGCTTCATATTGATCAGGTAAATATATGTACTGTCCAAACCATTGTTTTTTCAGTTGCAACAGTGTCATTTGTCAGCTTGTTAGAATCACCTAGAAGATGGGCCTCTGAGCATGCCTGTGAGAGATTGTCTTGATTACTTGAGATGGGAAGCCCCACCCACTATGAGTGGGCACCATTCTATGCAGAAGATGCTGGACTGTGTAAGATAGAGAGGTCAAGCTGAGGACTACATGAGTGCATTCATTGCTCTCTTCTGTCTGTGCACATCATGTACCCAGCTACTTAGAGTTCTTGTCACTATGACTTCCCTGCACTGATGGAATGTAACCTAGAGACCGAGTTAAACCATTTCTCTCATTTCTCTCTTGAGTGTTTTGGTCAAAGTATTTTATCATAGCAACAGGAAATGTTACAGGCATTCTTTCCTACCAGCCTGGTCCCAGCCTCCTGGAGCCTCAAAGAAGCACATGAATGCTATATTAATTATGAAACTGTTGTCCATTAACTTGGGCTTCTTATTGGCTAGCTCTGTCTTAATTATTAACCCATTTCTATTAATCTAAGTATTTCCACATGGTCTTATCTTACTGGAGAAAGTAGCAGAAAGATACTGCTACTCCTCGAGTCCTACATGGTGAATGCCCTCTGCCTACAACTCCCAGAATCCTCCTCATCTCCTAGACTTGCCTGTCTTGTTGTCCTATTGTCAACAGTGTTTTATTCATCAACCAATAAGAGAAACATATGTATAGAAGACATCCCCATCAAGGAATGGAAACTAAGACATTGGTTTTCAATTCTACTTAATTCTTGCTTTTTAAGATCTAGAATTAACACCTTCTTTCATATGTAGTGATTTACACATACTTCACTTCCACTTTATGACCTTATTTATTCTTCAAAAGTGGTTGAAAACAAGTTACTGCAGTACTTAAGGGACTTAAGTGTTCTTTTAGCTTTCACATACTAACCAATTTACTTTTTGAGGAGAATAAATCATCCTTTGTTTAGGTTTGTTTTTTTCCCTTAATATTCCAGTGTGTCTATTTTTAGGAATTTTATAATTGACATCAGTTGTGACAGTTTGAGGCATATGAATTTGCTCACGTTTTCATACAGCAATTCTATTCTAAAATTTACTTCATATTTTCTTACTACTAAATTACATTGCCATGATGATAATTACATTGACTTAGCAGTTGTGTCATTTATGATCATTGTAGATAGGATTCTAGGACACATATTTCAGGGATCTTGATCTTAGTTAGAAAACTAAAAAGTGTGGAAGATTACTGTAATTTGATTAAATGTCAGTTGGAGAACACTAATAGTCCAAGCTGATAGTTATAGTTCTTTTTGAGCAAATGAAAAAACTTTCTTCATTAATTTGAAAATAATGTAGTCTCCTAACCCTATAAACATATCTCAAATACTGTTTCATCCTTACTACTGCAAAAATAGAGTTTTCATTTAAGGTTGTCCCATTCAGTGGAAGGAAGACTGGTTGGGAGATCAGTGGGAGTAGGTGGGGCAATGACAAGAAAGGGATGTGGGGGTAAATATGATCAAAGTATTTTAGAACCTATATGAAAATATCATAATGGAACATATAATTATATATAATCAATACAGGCCAATGAAAACCTTTCCTAAAAAGTCATATTGACTGATATAACCAAATGCACTGCATCTTTCCTGGTAAATTCCAGAATCATAATGCCATGTTAAGAATATTCACTTAAAAACGCCTACCTATCGGTTTTGAAACTAGATATCTATTATTCAAGGATTTCCAATTTGTGTTTTTCAAAATAAGATCTCTCCAGTTGCCACATAGCAGATCATATAGGTTCAGTGTAGACACTGAATTATCACACAGAAGCAACTAGGTGCCTGGAGAAACTGCACTGTAATTCAATGTTATGAAATGTGGTGCTAACATTTGCAGTGAAGCAAAGAGCCCTCCTTGCTCTCTATTGTGGAAAGCAAAGTTCTGTCATATATGTCAGTTAATGAAATGTGTTTTAAGTTCACTTTCCCAACAAAATATACTAAACATGTATTAATTGGAAGAATTAAAATTAGTCTTTCCAGGTAGTTAACCAGTATATTTTCTATTTCACACTTTACCTATTTTTAATGATATTGATTAGCTGATACCCAAGATTAGATATGTGATCATCTTTCTCTCCTTTTTTTCTTCTTCTAAGGACATTGTCAATACAATCATCAAACACTGCTCACCTCAGTTTCTTTCACTTGGTTTGCCTGGTGCCACAATGCTCATTATGGATTTTATTATAGCAGCTGGGAGAGTGGCTTCTTCAGCTTTTCTTAATGTAAGTCTTTATTTCTTTTAAGGTAATAAACTCTATCAAGACTCGGCTCACAAAGCAACAAAGAGTGCTATTGCTGATAAAATATAACAAATTCATGTCCAAGAAAGTTTACCATTTAATTGGAATTGATTGCCTCTCCTACATTAAAAAGAAATTCTGATATGTTAAGAAGTCAATAAAATTAGTTGGTGAATTTTCCTCAAGAACTATAAAAATGGTTTACATCTGATAGGGGAAAAAGATTTAAAATTGGGAAATCTAGGGAAACAGGGAAGAAAGTGTTGTGAATTATTGCAAAAGATAAGAAAGAATGGAGAATAATCGTTACTTACTATGTGTGTTCATGAAATCATCATGTTATTCAACTAGAATTTTTATTTGGCAATTAAAATTTAATGGGATAAAGAACAAACACTTATTTCTGTTTTGCAAAAGCCCAACAGTGAATAAGAAAAAGTGCTGTTTGTGGCATTGCATAAGGTGTGTATTGGATGCTGACGAGAGGTCAATAGAATAATTGTATGCATAAGTTAGGAGGTCAGGTGAGATGTTTTAGAAGTGTTTTAAAACCTTGGACTTGACCCAGTTGATCACCTCGAGGAAACATGCAATTGACTGTATTTCTAGCCAGTTTTGTTTCTACGGGTCCTGGAGAACAGTCATCATGACTAGTCATCATGTCTTTCGTCTTGGTATCTCCAGGGTCTAGCACAAGGCAGTGCTTAGTAGATACTTACTAACTGAAAATTCTAAGTATTTATCCAGTACCTAGTATATGCTCAACATTGAGCTTAGCCCCTTGGTGGTTTTATAAACTTTTTCTTCCTTGTTCATATAGGCAGAGGATAGTACACAGAGGAACAGAAAAGTGTTCCTGATCACCCAAAGCATGCCCTGCACAACACCATTTACTGTGGTCTGGTTGCTCATTAGCAATGCTGAAGTACTGAATCAGAACCCACATTGTGATGAGACTATAGATGGTGAATGAAGTTATTGGGGGATACTTCTTGGTCCACAGGTTATGGTGCTAGACTGGCTTAAAGAAATACTTTAAAATATGGAAAGAGATCATTAAACCTATGTCTTGAGAATATTAAATAAATAAGTAACTCTTAGAATAGATTAATGGAAGACAAACCAAAGATGACATACAAGCTACAAGTCCATTGTAGTAATGTCTTGGTGCCCCGATAAGCAACCTCTTAGGCTGGCAAAAGTTGATAAAACTCAAAGGATACTAACATTCAAATAACTGTGACTTCTTATTAATTTACTATGAAAACTTTCCTCATCAGTGGACTAGTTACTTGAGATGACTAAACATGTTTTCTATAGAACTTTTCTCAAAGTTCTATAGAATTAAACCCTGATGTTTTTTATATGACTAGCTTTTCTCCCCTACATCTAGATATTGATTATGTAACAGCATCCTTTGGATAATGTAAACAGTAGTCCCTTTCAGTGCCAACTCATATGATGCCTATTGCTGAGGAAGGCTACAGAGAAACTAAATCATTGTAGGAAACCATCTGGACACTCAAATGTGCCCTGTATGGTTACAAGCAATCTTCCTCTGGATGGTGTTAAAAATTCCAAGTCTTGGCTCTTTTTAATCCTCATTTTTTATCCCATCCATATCCCCCCCCCAACTCTTTGTTTTGTTTTTTGAGACAGGGTTTCTCTGTGGTTTTGGAGGCTGTCCTGGAACTAGCTCTTGTAGACCAGGCTGGTCTTGAACTCACAGAGATCCGCCTGCCTCTGCCTCCCGAGTGCTGGGATTAAAGGCATGTGCCACCACCGACTGGCTCCCTATCATCTCTTATTGTTAATGTTTCCTACCTTCCTTAAGCAGATTATAAGTGATGGATTTGTCTTTCTAAACTATTACAAAATCACTTGTTCTTGTTATACTCATATTCAAACATTACCAGTTACCTTACCCAACTTAGCAGAAATACTCAACTTACCCCTTCAACTAAATACTGAGGTTTTTTAAATTAGTTCTATTTATATAGGATAGTTTTAAACTAGGATAGTTTCAACCAGATGTCAGTTTACCATGCCCTTTCATACCTATAACTCTAGGTTGTTTGTTTAATCTAGATATGAAATATATTTATCTTTGGTTTTGTTTGAGAGAATATCTTGCTGGTAGTACAGGAAAGCTTTCAGCTTGCAGTTGTCCTGCCTCAGCCTCATGAGGGTGGGGATTTTAGATAGATTCTAACAGGTCCAGTAAAAATGAGCTGTTCTGTTCTGGTGAAAGACATGTAAGCTTAAGCCGTACTAAGCTGCAAGTCTTCTTAAGTATTGAATATTGATTTACGTGAATGGAAATACTATATTGCTAGTATGCTGTTGTTTCACATTTTTATTAAGTATTATTAACCCTATAGCCAATTGGTAAGTAAAATAATGCTTTGGTCCCTGTGTAGAGAGCATGTAGGAGGACAGAAGAACTGTTCAATACTGATACTTAAGAAATTACTTCATAAAATGAAAGACAGCATGAAATCATTTCTTCTGTAAGATTTATGTAGACATAAATTATAATGTTAGTAAATATTAAGGACAGTGGTTTTTTCATATGCATAAAAAGATAAAAATCCATCTAGTCCGGTACCCATTTCTTGAAGACAAAATACATTTTAATCACTTTTTATCTATCCTAACATAGTGACGTTGATTCATCAACTTATTTGAACAATAGGTAATGAAGTATGGACTACATTTAAAGTAATTTAGTCAGGCATAGTTGCACATGCCTATAAGCCCAGCACTTGAGATGCTGAAATAGAAGAATCACAGTTTCAGGACCACCCTGGACTATGAAGTGAGTTCAGAGCCAGCCTAGGCTATGTAGCAAAACGCTGTCTCTAAATAAATAAGTAAACAAAATATTCCATTTTCCCTTTGATTATGTTAAATGTATGCAGATTACTAGCTTATATTCCTATTTAAAGTTCATTAGCTGCAGATACTTTCTGTTTATTGTTTGCTTTTCAAGAAAGTATTGCTATTTGTCCATTATATTTACTGAGAATAATCATGCTCTCTTTAGAAATTCTAGATGCAAACCTAAATCTTTGACATTTCCTTTTTGAATGTTATCATGTTCTCACTGACCTGTATCATGTAGTTATAGAACAAAATATTTAATGGTAGTTTAAGAATGCAATTAACAAACATTTTACAGATGGTTTAAATCTGATATACAGGCACCAAGAGTGGAAGCGCAAGTTCTTCTGGGATCCTTAGTTTGCTTTCCCAACTTATACTGTGAACTGCCTGCTCTCCATCCCAACATCCCTGAGATCGCTGTGTCTCAGTTTACAGATGTTAAGGTAAGAGATCAGATGCTGGTATTTAGTATATATGATATAATCTGTCTTCTCCCTTTTCTTTTTGAAATCTAGGTACTAAAGAACGTTAATACTCCAGGCATAAAAGTAGAGTGTCTGCTAGGAGCAAAGCAAAGGTTTAACAGCTTTGAAACCTTTTCTCATTGTTGAGCCTACTCACATGTCTGTCCCTTAGGAGTCATTCATTCACTCATTGAACATGTATTGAAATAGCCTGTGACCCAAGACCTATGCTGCTAATATAAGGCTTCTAAGATTGAGATGCTAAACTAAAGTTGAATGTTTTGACTTCCACTTTCTATTTCTTGACACATTATATCAAAGTGATAGAACTTTGCTGCTGTATGGAACCTTATATGAAACATGGGGTATATCCTGTACCTGAAGCATTAAAGGACTTGTACAGCCATCAGAAGCAGGCATGACAAATAACACTTGTGATGTATGCACTTTTCGAAGTTTCCAGGTTAGAAGCCTGGTAAGAAGTTCTTTTTAGCCTCTGCAGAAGTCAGCCTCTGTTTAAAAAGGAAATATGATTTGATCGCATTTAGTCTTATGTACTCAATATCTCTTAGACCAAGGTAGAGGGGGCTGGCGTGGAAAGTTCTCCTGTTAAGTAAGGATCTGGGCCCAGCAATGTGAGCCATGGTGAATAATTCTGGGACTAGGTCATTGTCTCTGACTAATGCCTGTGTACTCTAAATTCCCAAGGGCTTAGCACTCCTGCTAATAAAGCATGCTGTAACTGCAAGATTCTCTATGTTTAACTTGAATTGGTCTTTAGCATCAGAAGAGTTGAGAAGACACTGGCTACTGGGGGATCATGTGATGCTGATTTTTCCAAGTTGCTTTCCTTGAAAGTCTTGGTTTTGATTTCTTCATAGACCTTTAAAAGTGCTTTTAGTTAGTATATAGAGTATGGGTTATATAGAGTATGGGTTTTAGTTAGTATATAGAGTATATAGCTTATTTTGAGCCATTTTGAAGCAAGGTCTCACAGTGTATCCTAGACTGGCCTAGAATTCACTGTGTAGCTAAGGGTGTCCTTGAACTGGTAGATATCCTCATGTCCCTGCCTCCCAAGTACAGGCACCACAGGCTTACAGTACATGAATACTATTGAAAGATAGCTTTTTATTTGTTTTGTTTTGTTTTGTGTTTTCAGACAAGATTGTACTGTGTAGCTCAGACTGGCCTGGACATCGTGGTCCTGCCACCTCTGCCTTGTGGCTTCTGAGAGTACAAGCATGTACTGCTGCTGTCTTTTTGTCATACTTTTATATAACTATAAATAGAATTGCTTTGGATGACATGGCTATTTTAACAATATTAATACTTCCAACAAATGAACCACCCTTTCTTTCCCAGCATAAATTCTACTTAATTATGTACATTCATTTTAATGTACTATTCATTTTGATATAGAATATTAGCTATTTTTTTAGGACTTTTTAAAACATAAAGTAGTACCTTAGGGATTTGGGTATCCAGATAATGCTGGCCTCATAAAATGAGTGTGAAAATGTTCTTGTTTCTTCAGATTTTTTAAAGAGTTTGATAAAAATTGATTTTAATTTTAGAAGTGTTTGGTAGAATTCACTTGTGAAACCATCTGACCCTGCCTTTCAAATAATATATCTTTTAAAAAAACTTTAAGGTATTCATGTCTTTTAGGTATCAGTTCTGTTGTATAGTGAGTCTTTATTACTCTCCTAGCCATGAAAAAAGTTAATTTTAAAGATATTTTAGTTATAAATTTCATGATTTGTTAGCTACTTTTTAGAATAATGCTGGCATTTTATTAAAAGTAAACACAAGAACAAACTGTTACTCTATTCCTAATGCCCAGAGCACTATCTGGCCCAGAATGGCCAACTAATAAATATTTGTTGAATTAATACATGAAATCATAGACATTTCTTCTATTTCTTCTTATTTTAGGAACTTATAATTAAAACTGTATTAAGCTCAGCAAGAGATGAACCCTCTGGTCCTGCACGGTAGGTCATATTCTTAGATCTAACACTTAATGTAATGACTGTTCATGGCATTTTGTAGAAATTGATTACTACACTTCAAATTGTTCCAGACTTCTAAAAACCTTCATCTTTCATAACTAAAATAATTTGTTTTAATCTTATTTGAGTAATTTTACTTTATCATTGTATTCATTAGTTGTTATTCCTTATGCAGTGCTTTGAAGTATAGCAGTAAGGATCAGTGTTCATTGATATATTTATATTATGGAAATTGATATATCTAAGGAAATAGTATATTTTAATAGCCACCTATTTGATCAGAAAATTTTTACTTTCCCTTCCTTTTCATGCATGTAAGTGTGCATATATATGTACAGATGTCTGTTCGGGTGCTCATGCATGCACACCAAGCCAGAGGAAGACATCGGTGTCCTCTCTTGCTTTCCACTTTATTCCATTAAGATATGGGATCTCTCCCTGAACCTAGAGCTTGCTGAGTTTTGGCTAGGCTGTTGGCCAGCAAAATCCTACTTCCCCTATCCCCACTGGGGTTGAAGGTTTATACACACATGCCCAGGGTTTTACCATGAATGCTTGGTGTCTGAACTCAGGTCTCCATTCCATGCTTTTGTAGAAAGCACTCTTACCCACTGAGCCATCTCCGAAGCCCAAAATAAATATTCTTTTTTTTTTTTTTTTTTTTTGGCTTTTCGAGACAGGGTTTCTCTGTGTAGCTTTGGAGCCTATCCTGGCACTCACTCTGGAGACCAGGCTGGCCTCAAACTCACAGAGATCCACCTGCTTCTGCCTCCCGAGTGCTGGGATTAAAAATGTGTGCCACCAACACCCGGCCAAAATAAATAATCTTAATTATTTTAATAAATTGGGGAAGAAACACCACAGTCTATTTTATGCCCCCTACTTTCTCTTGATATGCACACACAAATTCAGAAGCATCTTGTTCCTAGCCTCTAATTTATTTAATATTTCAATGTTTTAAATTAATTCATTGATTTTTGGGTTCTGAAACAGGATCTCATGTAAACATAGGCTGGCCTTAAGCTCACTGTATAGCCAAGATATCCCTTGAACTCCTGATCCTCCTGCCTCAGTTTCCCAAGTGCTAGGTTTACAGGCAGGAACTACCACACGTAACCAACCTTTGGTGTTCCAACAAAAACTATTTAGTATTGGTACTCTCAATCTCTGCTTTTGGTTAATTGATGTTATGGAGCATTTTTTGCTGCATTTCAAAATGTACTGTTGCTTTGGGATTTCATAAATCTATTGCTGAAACTTCAAACTTGGTTATCTAGATCTCTCACACTGTGTAAAACTTATGGCTTGATGCCAATGGAGAAAAAAAATAAGGCAGTAGCCCTTACTCTAAAGATGTTTTGGTCACCTCAGTAGCGAACAATTGGTTAGCAACAACAGTCTACATCATAAGAGGGGACTTCAGAAGAAGTGTTCTGCAAGAAAAAATATTTTTTCATTGAATTATTGTAAAATGTGGTGTTCCATTGTATTTAAGAATATCAGTATTAATACATGTACACATGCCAGAATTATAGACATGCCAGAATTATAGTGGGCTTTGGAGAGAATCATAGCTTACCAGAAGCTTAAACTTGAGTCCATGGAAGTCTTCCTGATTCTGATTACCAAATAACTTCCAGCTGAAACTGAAACTTAGCTGGGTTACAGTTAAGAATAACTTCCAGCTGGGCGGTGGTGGCGCACACCTTTAATCCCAGCACTCGGGAGGCAGAGGCAGGCGGATCTCTGTGAGTTGGAGCCCAGCCTGGTCTACAACAACTAGTTCCAGGACAGCCTCCAAAGCCACAGAGAAACCCTGTCTTGAAAAACCAAATAAATAAATAAATAAATAAATAAATAAATAAATAAATAAATAAATAAATAAAATAACTCCCAGCTGAAACTTTGCTGGGTTACATTTAGGAAAATAAAAGCCCACAAGACGTTAGAGAAACAAGTAAAGTCCTACAAGGTCTATTCTGCTGCAATTTTTTATAATTATTTTCAGTCTCTTTTAAAAAATTGTGAGTAGTTGTGTTAAATTTGAATAACAAAAATATTTTACTTACTCCATCCCTTTATTTTTATGTAAATTCATTTTCCTGTTGCCAGTCAAGAATCTTAGACTCTCTCCTATTGAAAGCAGATTGTACAGTTGTTTGGGAAAAAGGCTTATCACATTGTCAATTTAGTAATATGGATTTGTCAGAAAGATGCTGCATATCGTCCCAGGCACTACTGCTCTATTCACTGTGTACAGTTGAAAGTTAGGTTTCAATTTAGGGTGTTTTTACTTCCATTTTTGTTTAATTATCAGCTAACTCATACAGTAACAAAGTCTTGGATTCACTTAAACAGTGAATTACTGAACATTTTGTTTTATTTAAAGTCATTGTAGACTGTCTTTTTTTTTCCCCCAGATGTGTAGCACTTTGCAGTTTAGGTATTTGGATTTGTGAAGAATTAGTTCATGAATCTCATCATCCTCAAATTAAAGAAGCTCTGAATGTAATTTGTGTTTCATTAAAGGTAAAGAAAAGTATTTAATGAAGTATATCGATATCATTTAGGACACTTGCTTTTTTTTCCCAGACATTTAATTATCCTGGGCCCATGTGACTCCAATATTTAATAATTATTTTATCATGTATTATTACATTAGCTCCTTGATTCTGACTTGCTTTAAGAGTGAATAGTCCCATTCTTGACTTAAGAAAATTTTGTGATGAGCTTTTTGTCTGAACTTTTCTGTATTTGACTTCTTTCCTTAGAAAACATGTGAATTATGTCTTAAAAATAAATCTGTCATTTAAAACAGCATGTAGGAACGAGGTGATTAGTGTATTTGTAAGAGGAGGGAGAAGGGGGAGGGAGAGAGGTATGGTATTTGTTTATGTGTGCTGAGTGAGGCCAGAGTCATGGGCAGATTTTCATGGGATGCTGAGGAGTTGAACTCAGATCCTCACGCTTTGGCTATAGGCACAAGTTGAGCTACCTGCCCAGCCCTCTTGATTTATTTTTTTTTATTTTTATTTATTTATTTATTTATTTATTTATTTTTGGTTTTTCGAGACAGGGTTTCTCTGTGTAACTTTGGAGCCTATCCTGGCACTCACTCTGGAGACCAGGCTGGCCTCGAATTCACAGAGATCCACTTGCCTCTGCCTCCCGAGTGCTGGGATTAAAGTCTTGCGCCACCAATGCCTGTCACCCTCTTGATTTTTTAACTAGTATTTCTGTGACTTACTCTCTGATCTTTATTACTCCCTAAATTTTTGAGATTTTGGCTTTTGGCTTTACTAATAAATACCCTCTTTATAGCCAAAATAAAATTTGTTCTGAAGTAATAATCTAGGGGCTGGAGAGATAGCTCAGTGGTTAAGAGCACTTACTCCTGTTCCAGAGGACCCTGAGTTCAATCCCCAGCATCCATGTAGCAACTCAGAACTCTCTACAACTCTAATTCATTCCAGGGGACCCAGAGCCCTCTTCTGAGTACCAGGCTCAAATATGGTGTCCATACATACATACCTGGAGGCAACCAACACACAGTTTTAAAAAAAAGTTTAAAAACAGTAGTGATAATCTAATCATTTGGAAACTCTGAATAAAATTATGAAATTTTATTCCATTTCAGTATTATTTGAGGGTTTGTTTTTGCTATTATTATTTGAGACAAAATCTCACTGTTTAGCCCAGGCTAGCTTCTAATGTAATAGAATACTCAGAATGTCATTGAACTCATAATTTTCCTGCTTCAGCATTCTGAGTGCTTGAATTTAAAGTATGTGAATATTTTTTACTTATGAAAGAGTATTTATTATTGTTTTCTTACAACCTAATACCACAGCATGTTTAAGACTAAATATACAATTTACATAGTAAGCACTTTTGAGTAATACCAGTTAATTGACAGATATTTCTGATTATGTGCTATGTTTGAGGCACTTTGCTAAGCAAAGTGAATAATGAAATGAGAATTGTACAGATATGAGCTTTGAGAAATGTACAGTACAACAGCTGAAATTTGTGATAAAAGGAAGCATGAGATTTAAATTGCCAGAAGCTAATATTAATGAATTTGCATAGAGAACTTCTTTATTACAATGATTTTTGTTGTTGCAGTTTACTAATAAAACGGTTGCCCACGTAGCTTGTAACATGCTTCACATGCTGGTTCACTATGTACCTAGACTTCAGACTTACCAGCCGGATTCGCCCTTGAAAATTATTCAGGTAAATAACTTTGCATTTGTTTTTATTGTAAACTTATATAAAAATTTCTTAGATATGGATACCTTGAAATAGAAATTATTTTAATAGGTACTAATTTTTCCATAGGTAAATGCTTGGTGTTCATCCTACTTTTTTGTAATATCAAAGTTACTAATAATTTCTTTGTATTTTCTATTTATTTATTTATTTATTTATTTATTTATTTATTTATTTTTGCCCCTCCCTCCTCTCTTCTCATTTTCTTCCCTGTCCGCACTGTCCCACCTCCCCATTCACTCCTCCTCTATTTCTGTTCAGAAAAGGGCAGGCCTCCCATGGATGTCAGTTTTTAAAATACATGATTTTATGTGTATGTATATATATATGCGCCACATGCATGAACTGCCTACCCCAAACTAGAACCACATATAGTTGTAAGCCATCCTGTGAGTGCTGGGAACTGATCCAAGTTCTCTGCAAGAGCAGTAAATGCCCTTAACCACTGAGCAATTTCTCCAGTCCCCTCCCTTGTAATTTTTTTTTAGAAGTATGGTTTCCTGGTTTAGAATGAAATTTTTAAGTCATTGAAGTATTTATTAGTTTTGAAAATTATATACTTCATACAAACTTAATAATGCCATTGTGTTTATCCATCTATACGCTACTTCATTTTCTCTTAAGTGAGTAAAACATGCCATCCCTCCAGTTTGCCAGGATCAGGGCATTACTCCTTCCTTTTTTAGCTAATCAGTAATAAGTTTGATTTTTCATTCAAATTTTTTTGATGTTTCCTGTGCTTCCTATTAAGACCCTTTGTTACTTCCTTTTGCTACTGCAGTATCTTGCTTCTGGAAGGTACCTCTTCTCCTTTAGGGCATCTTTGACATCCACATGGCTTTTTATCATGTCACCTGAAATAAAAATAAACAACCTTTGTTTTTCATTTTCCTTTGACTATAAAGTAAAGTTTCCTTCTTGGCTGTGAATTCAGACCTCCAGCTGAAGACCCATCTCATCTTTCTAGAACCATATACAGTTTCCCATGAGATACATGTTCTCCAGGCAACTAAATCTGCTTACTCACTCTCAAAAGTACCTCTAACTCTCTTATCTGAAATGCTTTACTTCTCTCAAAACCCCCTCAATCTCTGTATGCCTTTCTTAGTATTTTACAACATGTTCAAGAAAACTAAGAACAAGTATTTATTAAGTTCTTACTGTAGAACAATTGTTATATCACTCACCTCTTTAGAAATACATAATTTTTAATTTATTTTACTTATTTTAATTTTTTGAGTCAGGGTCTCACTCTGTAGCTCTGGCTGGTCTGGAACTCAATATGTAGATCAAGCTAATCTCAAATTCATAGAGATCCACTTGCCTCTTCCTTCAAGTGCTGAGATTAAGGGCATGTACCACTACTCATAGCCCAGTATGTAATTTTAATTTTTATTTTATATGTTTGAGTGTTTTGCCTGCATATATGTCTTTGCACCACTTGTGTGCTTGGTACATACAGAGGCCAGAAGAGGGTATCAGATCCTTGAAATTGGAGTTGCAGAAGGCTCTGAGCTACCTTATAGGTGCTGAGAATTGACTGTCCTCTAGAAAAGTGGCTAGTGCTCTTAACTGCTGAGCTATTTCTCCAGTCCCTCAGTATCTAATTCTTTTTTGTTGTTGTTGTTTTTCAAGCAAGGGTTTCTCTGTGTTACTGCTCTGGCTACACTGGAATTTACTTTGTAGACCAGGCTGTCCTTGAACTTAGAGCTGCCTCTGCCTCTCTGTCTCTCTGCCTCTGCCTCCAGGTTCTTCTCAGTTTCTAAGTTTTCATTGTGAAATAAGCTGTTATCCTGATGGGTTTTTCTTTATATGTGACTTTTGCTTAGTTTGGGAAAGTTTTCTTTTATGATCTTGTCTAAGTTCTTATCTATCATTGCCCTGCCTCTTCCTCTGGGATGCTGGGATTAAAGGCATGCACCACGACACTGCTGAGATCTAAACTTTTCTTTAATTCCTTTTTACAAGTTGAAAGCCTAGCTGCATGGGGTCTTGCCCTGAAGTCACAATTCCCTTTATTCCATTTCTTAATCTGTTTATCTCCTTGAACAAAGGATTTAGCTATATTCTACTTCCTGGTGCCCCTTTCCTCCTCAAATTGTACATTTTATATTTTTCCTTCTCAGCTTTCTCCTTTTCATTGTAAAACTCAACACTAGTGACCATATGAAAGAATCTATGCTAGGCTGTTTTGAGATGTCTCTGCCAATGCAATTAATCCAAAACTTTTCACATATATACACAGAAAAAAAAAAGTGGGAATGGAGCTGGTGAGATGGCTTAGCAATTACAAGCACTGGCTGCTCTTCCAGAGAACTTATATCATTGCTCCCAACTTCTGTAGCTCCAGCTCCATGGGATCAGTACCACTATCTGGCCTCCTCGGGTACCCACACACAAACCTGTAGGCACACACATGTACATATAAAGCAAAAATAAAAATTTTTGAAGGTAAGGTTGGGCTAGAGAGATGGCTCAGTGTTTGTTGCTCTTCTAGAAAACCTAAGAGCCAAATGTGGCTCACAGCCATCTGCAGCTCCAGCTCCTGAGTTCCAGGGCTACTAGGCACGAACATGGTGCACATACAAACATGCATGCAGCATACTCATGTAGATAAATTAAATACCCCTTTTTAAGAAAAAAAAAATGGGAATGGTGCCACATACTTGTAATACTTTTTACTCAGGAGGCTCAAATAGGAAGGCCACTTGAACCCAGGAGTTTAGGGCTAGCATGGGTAATGTAGAAATACTGCAAAAAAAAAAAAAAGTCCCTGAAAGCAAGTATTTTCCAAATAATAAAATTTGCATTAATGACTTCCTTTTTATAATTTCATACTCCCTATTTAATGTATGTTTTGGTGCTTTTAATAATATGTGTTAATTTAAAATTCTCTTTTCTCAAAGAGTATATTTACATATGTTACATAAACATATCATGAGTGTTCCTTATTTGAAATATTTGTTTACCAGAAGTATTTTCAAATTTCAGGGGGTTTTTTGTTTGTTTTTTGTTTTGTTTTGTTTTCCTGTTTGAAATACTTTCATAGACTCTGGTAATCAAGCATCCCTAATCCAAAAATTTGAAATTCTCTAAAACCCAAAACTTAAGTTTGGAGACAGAGTCTTATATAGCCCAGGCTGGACCCAAACTTACTGTATAGCTGAGGATGAGTTTGAACTCCTGATCCTCCTGCTTGTCCCTTCCAAGTGCTAGGATTACTGACCTGTTCCGCCATTTTATGTGATTCTATGGATGTGAGCCAGGGATCCTTGCATGTTAGGCAAGCACTCATGCTGTGTGATGTCCCCAACCACAAAAACTTTTGGCATATACCCTAAAATTTTGGATTTTGAAGCATTTCAGATACAAGTTGCTCAGTCGTCACAGATGGAGAGATCTGGAAAGGCACTGGGATGTGGTTCTTGAGATGGTGGGATTATAATGATTCTTACAAATGCTTTGCCTCTGTCTTTGGATTTCCTCTAATGGACCAAAATATCTGTTTTTATACATATTGGTTGACCTTGTGAAGTGAATTAGTATGAAATGATATACCACTGACAGAACATATGTATTGTAATTTTCATTCTGTAATGAAGATTATAAATGATTGAGAGTTAAATGTACTTAAAAAGCTTACATGGTACAAATTAAAGTAATAGTATATAGGTTAGATACTGTATTTATATGTTACATTGATGTTAAATTTACAGCAATAGATTTTATATCACTTAAGCATATAGTAATTAAATTTTAGGGAATACAACGAATTTCATTTATTTTAAACTCATTTACTTGTTCATTCATCTTTTGCCTACAGATCTTAATAGCTACTGTCACCCACCTTTTGCCAAGTACAGAAGCTTCATCATATGAAATGGACAAGAGGGTAATTTTATTTTTTTGACATTGAATATGTATTTATCTTGAATATTTAAATTTAAGATTTTAAAGGTACAAATATTTGCATGATTAATCATCTGTATTCAATCAACTATGGTGAACTATAAGTTTCTATTACTTAAGTATGAAAAAAATCATTTTATGGACTGGAGAGATGACTCAGCAGTTAAGAGCACTTGCTGCTATTGTAGAGGACCCAGTTTTGGTTTCCAGCACCACATGGAGGCTCACTGGAGTCTGTAACTCCAGTATCAGGGCATCCAACTCCTTCTTCTGGCCTTATGGCACCAGGCACACAAGTGGTGAACAAACATACATGTAAACAAAATTTTCATACGCATTAAATAAATAATTTTTTAATTTCATGAATATTTGATTATCTTAAAATCTCAGAGTAGTAAAGAAATTTTAGCAAACATTTTATTTACTTATCATGATTTTACTATAGCCTGCCAGATTATGAAGTTGTTACAGATTCTGAGAAATTTACCACCTCTGACCATAGTCACTTGTTTTTTTGTTTTTTTTTTACAGCTGTTATCAGTGGAAGGTAAAGACATTTACAATAAATAGAGTACAAAAATATATTAGAAGTATACCTCTTGTTGTTGTTTTGGGGTTTTTGTTTTGTTTTGTTTGTTTTGAGACAGGGTTTCTCAGTGTAGGCTTGGCTGTTCTGAAACTCACTCTGTAGACCAAGCTGGCCTTGAACTCAGAAATTTGCCTGCCTCTGCCTACTGAGTTCTGGGATTAAAGGTGTGCGCCACAATTTAAGGCGTAGAAGCATACCTCTTTTTTTTTATTATTATTATTTTATTAGTTCTAGTTAGGGAACAAGCTTATTATGCTGATCCTGGGCCCTTCCCCATGTGTCCAGGGCCAGAGTGTAACCCTTCACATGGGATGGGCTCTCAAAGTCCCTTCTTGCACCAGGGAAAAATACTAATCCACCACCAGAGGCTCCCTGGAGTGCAGAGGCCTCCTTATTGACATCCATGTTCAGGGGTCTGGATCAGTCTTGTACTGGCCTCCCAGACAGCATCTGGGGTCGATGTGAAGCATACCTCTTAAGAGAAGGTATTTCTTCTGCCCTAAAAAAGTTACTCCATGTGACATTTTCCTTTAGACCTTTTCCAGGAGGTCTTTAGTGTTCTTTATCCCTTCCTGTATTCCCTCCTCTCTCCTTCCTACCCTAGAGTTCCCTGCATTATTTAACCCTTCCTACGCCATTATTCCCCTTTCCCCCATCCCTTTTAAAGATGAAGAATAATTTACTAGGAACTATAAGTAAAATGATAAGGAGTATATATAAATATAAAGGAGGTGTATACACACACACACACACACACACACACACACACACACACACTAAAGGACCTTTGGGACCATATAAATGTTATAGACTTTAGACTTTCAAAATATTTACAGTTTTTTTCTCTACTGCTTTCCATCCTTATACCTTTCCATTCATCCTTATATCTTAGCATTCTCGTCCATCAAGATTTTGTTTGAAGCTTATGTATTACACTTAGACAAGCCTCTCATTATTTTACCTAGGAACTATTAATATTGTTAAGCAAGACACAATATAAAGAGGCATTTCTTAAGGATGAGTCAGATCACTTACAATGGGATCCATATACCCTCCTTAGCCACAGGCTTATAAGAACATGAGTAAACTCTGTATGAGCAAGGAATTTTAGATTTCTGAAAGAATTTATTGTTATTGGTGGATATAATGTAATTTTAAGCATATTAGTAGACAGAGGTTGAAAAGAACTAGAGATATAGGAGCACTTGTCTGGTTTGCATGAAGCATTATGTTTGAGCCTCAGCACTGCCAGAAAAATAAAAGAAAAAAATTCCCATCACTATGCACTTCATAGGAATTATTGCAACTTCAAAACAAAACAAACAAAAAAATTTTATTCCCAGTCACAGAAGTAAGATTTAAATCACCCACATTTGTAGAGTTGTTACTACATATGAAACTGAAGAAAGGAACCTATCATTGGCAGATATATTCCAAAACTTTGTTTTGTTTGTTTGTTTTTCTTTTTTTTTTTTTTGGTTTTTTGAGACAGGGTTTCTCTGTGTAGCTTTGGAGCCTATCCTGGCCGTCGCTCTGGAGACCAGGCTGGCCTCGAACTCACAGAGATCCACCTGCCTCTGCCTCCTGAGTGCTGGGATTAAAGGCATGCGCCACCAACGCCCGGCCCCAAAACTTTTATTCTTTCTATTGACATCCATCCAGAACTTTGATTTCATTTCTGTGTTGGAACATAAATTTCAGGGATTTATTTGGGTTTGTTGGTTATGATGCTGAGGATAGAACTTAGAGCCTCCTGTATGCTAAGCAAGCACACGGAGGCCATAATTTCAGATTGCAGGGAAGTTTCTAAAATAGGAGGAGGAGTCTTTGTTAAATACTTCACTTTATTCATCCCTTTAGTCCATATTGGCTTTATCCCTCTTCAGTGTTGTATATGCATTCTACATACTACAGTGTGCATACAAACTTCATTACATTCTTCCTAAAAGCAAGCAGTTCTTTAAGAAACAGCACAGCTATCAGCAGCTAGTGATAGCATTGATTTATTCATTGTAATGTAATCTGTAAATCCTACTTAGATTTCACTAGCTAGCTCAGTAATGTCCTCTATAACAAAAGAAAAGCCCAAACCTTGGGTTCTGTTTGTAAGTACACTGTTACATCTTAAATCTTTTTATGGACTAGTTTTTCAGAACATTTATTTTGTTCTGATTGATGGCATGGGGTGACACAGCTCTTTCAACAAGGCTACCCCTTTAATCTTTCCCAAACAGTTCCACTCTCTGGAGACAGAAATCCATATGAGTCCTTGGGGGCTATTCTCATTCAAATCACCATAAATACTTTCTGTCTTATGATCATATGGAAGGTTTGGTTTTGTAAGGGTCCATTGTTTAGCGAGGATTAAACTTTGATTTGGAGAATTTATCTTTAATGATGAACAGATCCTAGTTGCTGCCTGATTGCCACTTTTATGGCACTATTTAGCATTAATTATGATTTTTAAATGTAATAGAAAAGGTAATTCTGTGTTAGGGTAAAAGTATTGTTTATGGTATCTGTTATTTTAAAAGTTACTATAATGTTTTATTTAATAAAATGAGTAAATGCTTTCTGGCAGGCTACTCGGTGAAGTATTGCAAATTAGAAAAGGAAAATGGAGAGAGCTAGGAGATGGCTCAGACTGTAAAGTGCTTGACATGCAAGCATAAAAACCCCAGTTCATCACTACATAGAGAGCCAGGCATAAGGGCACATGCCAGTGCTGGGGAAGCAGAAACAGGATGGTACCTGGGGCTTGCTATCCAGGTAGTCTAGCTGAATTGGTGCAGTGAGAGATTGGTTCTGCCTCAGATAAAAAGGTGGAGAGCAGTTGAGAAAGACACCAAACATGGAATGGTGCCTCCATATGCGCGTGCACACATGTGCACACACACACACACACACACAAACAAACAAGTTGGGGATGTGAGACAGCTCAGTGTGTAAAGGTGCTTGTTACCAAGGCTAACGACCTAAGCCTAATTTCTGGAAAAAACTGACTCCCACAAGTTGTCATCTGACCTCCTCAGGCTTCCTGGCACACACACTCCCACATACACACACAAACATAACAAATGGAAAACAGGCATGATTGTAATATATGAACCAAAACCCTATGTTCTATCTTTATAGTTACTTGAATGCAATTGTGTTTTCCCTTTTCTTTTTTGTTTAATACTTAGGGTACCAAGCTCAGGATGCTCTGTCCCCTGACTGTACTCTCAACCTCTATGTATATTACTACTATAATTAACTAATTGTGTATCAGGATCAGTGTTCATAGTTGAATTTAGGATTTATAGTTCCCACAATAATTTCTAGAAACTCAAGAATAACAAAGTGATTTATTGATTACTATTAATCCATAATTGGAGATCTGAAGATAAGGTTACTTGCTTGCTCAGTATTGACAAAGCCTGTCTTCAATCCCCAGCATGCAGAAGGAAGAAGTTCAAGGTCATCCCTGGCTAATGAATTATGTATTTTTCTTCTGTCTGTAATAAAATTCTTGACAAATGAAACTTAAGGAAAGAATGTGAGACAGCTAGTCACACTGCATGTGTAGTCAGGGAGCAGAATGCAATGGTGAATGCGAACACCCTACTTTCTTTAATTTTTTTATTTAGTCTTGCGCCATGGTGCATGTAAAGGTGCTACCCACATTTAAGGTTACACCCATCCCTCTCATGTCCCCAACTTTTCTGTGTGTGTATATATGTATGTTTGTGTACATGCACACATGTTTCCATATGTATATGGAAAACAGAGGGCTATATTTGTTTGGTGTCTTCCTCAATTGTTTTCCACCTTATTTTAAGACAGAATCTCTCAATCCAATTTAGAAACTCACAGACATACAGCAATTTGTCTCCTATGTAATTTTAGATCCTATCAAGTTAATAGTCAGTGTTAGCTACCATAGCTGCTACATCTTTGGCTACATGAGACCTTTTCTCAAAAGGGAGTGGGGATAGGGGAAGCCCTTCTGTTACAAATTTACATTGATAATCTTTTTATTGTTGTTACAGTTGGTTGTATCATTACTTCTTTGCCTTCTGGACTGGATCATGGCCTTACCTTTAAAGACATTACTCCAACCAGTCCATGCTACAGGAACAGAAAATGATAAGACAGAAAAATCTGTCCTCAACTGCATTTATAAGGTAAATCTTCTTGCTTGCTTTATTATTTATTTAATAACCAAATATTTTTAAAACCAGAAGTAACATGCAGGATCTGATAACATTTCTAAGTATAACATTTTCTTTCTTTCTTTTTTTTTTTTTTTTTTTTTTTTTTTAAACAGGGTTTCTCTGTGGCTTTGGAGGCTGTCCTGGAACTAGCTGTTGTAGACCAGGCTGGTCTCGAACTCACAGAGATCCGCCTGCCTCCTTCACCCAAGTGCTGGGATTAAAGGCGTGCACCAGCCATTTTTGTTGTTTAAAACTAGATGTTTGCCAGGTTTAAAATATTCAAGTTTCTGCCAGTCTTTTATATTACTGGCAGCTTTGTTTTATTTTCATGTTTTCTTTTCCCTTAGGTATTACATGGGTGTGTATATGGAGCACAATGCTTTAGCAATCCGAAGTATTTTCCAATAAGCCTTTCTGATTTGGCATCTGTAGACTATGATCCTTTTATGCATTTGGAAAGTCTGAAAGAGCCTGAACCTCTACACTCTCCTGATTCAGAACGATCTTCTAAACTCCAGCCCGTAACAGAAGGTACCCTGAGTTTTCCTCAAGACAATGTTATTGCTTGAGTTCTGACAAGATGTGCTTTGAGACCCTGAATGAAAATAGATTTCTGGTTGTAGTTGTTTACCTAATCATGTATTTCCCTATCATAATTTAGTTTTCAATTTAAGAAATAACTTCATATATACAATTACTAATATATGGTCTGGTACTTAGGAATATTTTATTGTAGATTTCATAGTATTTTTGAAAAATAATTCAAGAATTATGAAGTCTGACAGACTTGGTAATGACTCTCAGTTGCTGGGAGACATTTTAGTTCCTCATTTATAAAATGCAGATAATAATATTAGTTCCAGCATCAATTGTTTTGAGTACAAACTGAGATTATATATGTAAATCCCTTTGCATAGTCCTTAGAACATAATGAGTTCAGCATTCAAAATTTTGTTTACATTTTGTAATTGATTTGTATATGTATATATGCACAGAGGACAACTTATCGGAGTTGGCTGTCCTTCCATCATGTGAAGGAGGTTTTTAAGGATGAAGTCAGTTGAATTTCTTTAAAATAAGTGGTAACTCAGTAGAGAGTTGTTTGGTTTCCATGGGTTTATAGGCTTCCTGTTGTTTCTGTTGCTGTTGAAATTCAGCTTTAATTCATGGTTGTCAGATAAGTTACAGGGGGGTTATGTCACTTTTTTCTTTTTTCTTGTTTTTAATTTTTTATAATTTTTTCTTTTTATTTAAATTGGAAATAAGCTTCTTTTGCATGTCAATCTCAGTTCCCTCTCCTTCCCCTCCTCTCTCTCCGGGCCCCCTCACCAATCACCTGAATCAACCCCTTTCTGCTCCCCAGGGAGGGTGAGGCCTTCCATGGGGGAATCTTCAAAGTCTGTCATATCATTTGAAGCAGGGCCTAGACCCTCACCAGTGTGTCTAGGCTGAGAGAGTATTCCTCTATGTGGAGAGGGCTCCAAAAGTTCATTTGTGTACTAGGGATAAATACTGATCTACTACCAGTGGCCCCATAGATTGTCCAGACCTCCAAACTGACTTCCTCCTTCAGGGGGTCTCAAACAGTCCTATGCTAGTTTCCTAGCTATCAGTCTGGGGTCCATGAGCAAACCCCTTGTTCAGGTCAGCTGTTTCTGTGGGTTACACCAGCCTTGTCTTGACCCCTTTGCTCATCGATCCTGCTTCTCTGCAACTGGATTCCAGAGTTCAGCTCAGTGTTTAACTGTGGGTGTCTGCTTCTGCTTCCATCAGCTACTGGATGAAGGCACTAGGATGGCATATAAGGTAGTCATCAATCTCATTATTGGGGAAGGGCATTTAAGGTAGCCTCTCCACTATTGCTTAGATTGTTAGTTGGGGTCAACCTTGTAGATCTCTGGACATTTCCCTAGTGCTAGATTTCTCTTTAAACCTATAATGACTCCCTCGATGATGGTATCTCTTTTCTTGCTTTCCCCAATTCTTCCCCTGACTAGATCTTCCTGTTCCCTCATGTCCTCCTCTCCCCTCCTCTTCTCCCCTTCTCTTTCTTCTAACTCCCTCTCCCCCCACCATGCTCCCCATTAGCTTAGGAGATCTTGTCCCTTTCCCCTTCTCCGGAGGACCATGGATGCCTCTCTTAGGGTCCTTCTTGTTTCCTAGCTTCTCTGGCGTTGTGGATTGTAGGCTGCTACTTCTTTGCTCTGGATCTAAAATTCATGTATGAGTGAAACAAAACCAGATTTAAACAATACATATCCACCAATCCAGTGCTACAGAAAGTTCTGGAAGGAAAACTCTAAACCAAGGAAGTTACCTACACCCACAAAAACATAGGCAATAGATAATACCACTTTACCAACAGCCAAAAGAAAAATGGGGTGAAAATCCACATACAATTCCACCAACAACAACAAATCTAAAACAAACAAGAATGAACACTCAATGGTCATTAATACCCCTTAATATTAATGGTCTTAATTCACCTACACAAAGACACAGGCTAGCAGAATGAGTATGAAGACAGAATCCATCCTTTGGCTGCATACAAGAAACACACCTTAACTTCAAAGACAGACAGTACCTCAGAGTTAAGTATTGGGAAAAGATTTTCTAATCAAATGGACCTAAGAAACAAGCAGGGGTAGCAATCCTAATATCTAAAAATTAGACTTTAAACTAAAATCAATCAAAAGAGATGAAGGAGATCACTTCCTACTCGTCACAGGAGAAATCCATCAAGATGAACTATCACTTGTTTTCTATCTGTTGAGACTTGCTTTGTGGCTGAGTGTATGGTCAGTTTTGGAGGACGCTCCATGAGATGCTGAGAAGAAGGTATATTCTTTTGTGTTTGGGTGAAATGTTCTGTAAATATCATTTAGTTCCATTTGAGTCATAATGTCTGTCAGTTCTGTTACTTCTCTGTTTAGTTTCTGTTGGATGATGTGTCCATTTCTGGAAGTTGGATATTGAAGTCTCCTACTATTATTGTGTGGGTTTCTATGTGTGATTTAAACTTTAGTAATGTTTCTTTTACAAATGTGGGTGCCCTTATATTTGGAGCATAAATGTTCAGAATTCTGGTAGTTTTTTTCCTTTGATGAGTATGAAATGCCTTTCTCCATCTCTTTTAGTTATATTTGGTTGGAAGTCTATTTTGTTAGATATTATGATAGCTACACCAGCTTGCTTCTTAGGTCCATTTGATTGGAAAATATTTTCCCAACCTTTTACTCTGAGGAAAGGCTATCTTTGATATTGAGGTGTGTTTCTTGTGTGCAGTAGAATGATGGATCCTGTTTTCATATCCATTATGTTAGCCTGTGTCTTTTTATTGGAGAATTGAGCCTATTGATATTGAGGGATATTGAAGTAAGTGAATTTACTTAAAATAAGTGAGTAGCATATTATTTCAAGAATAAAGTCCCTGAAGGAATATACTGGAACTCATTAATCCTAGAATTTGCCCTTCATTTGGGACTAGAAAGCAAAGGAAAAGGAAAGTGAATTAAAGGAATTGATAAGACTCATGAAGACCCAGTGAAAAATAAACTGTCAAATGGTTGTACTGATCATCAGTTAGTAAATCCAGTAACAAATTCAAAGGAACTGTAAATATTTGAATATTGGTTTACAGTTTATGTCTGAAACCCAAGTTTAGGTAAAGAATTGCTTGCAGAAGCAACTAACAGCTAGGGAGAAAATAGTGTTCTCAAGAGGCAGAAAGTAGATGTGGATGGATATAAGAAAGTAAAGCAGTGGTTCTCAGATTAGCCTACATTAGAATATGGATACTCTCATTCCACTGATAGATGTTGATGGCCTGTCTTCTGAGATTGCTGGGGTTTCCAAGGCTCTGCATGTGAGTAATCTGCAGCCATGGTTGAGAACCTCTGAAAGTTGGTGTACTATGCCAGCAGCTCATACAGTAGTGTTTTAGTAAAGCAGAACGCAGTGTGGAGTCAGAACTAGATTGATCACAGATAGTTTATTAAGAAAGTACTCACCCAACAGAGGCAGTTGTGACAATAAGTCTTTCTGCCAAGCCACCCGAGTCCTGCTGCCACATAGGGACTTCCCGTCAGGCTGCCCAAGTTCTGCCCGAAGCCATGTTAAGGTCCCAAGTAACACACAGAAGTTACAAATGCTGCTTGGGCCAATGACTAGGATTTCTCATCTGCTAGCTCAGTCTTAATTATCATAAATATATATATTTTATAAGACTTATTTATCGGACACCAAAGGAAGCATCCTGTCTTCCCAGACTTTCATGGTGACTCTCAGCTTTCTCCTACCTTTCCCAGAATCCTCCTTGACTTAATGGGCCCCCCTATCTTGTTTTCGGCCAAGTACTTTATTTATCAACCAATAAGACAGTCATATACACAGAAGGACCACCCCCATCAGCCAGTGACCAGATTTATACCAGATGCCTGCTTGACCGCTCAGCCAAGTGGGAGAGAGAAAAAGAGCCGCATGTGTGCCTGTCTGGTATTTAAACCCTTGCTACGTCACTCTGACCAAGCAGGTGTGGTCAGCCGCACCTGTGCCAGCCCCAAGTGGGCATGGTCAGCAATTTCCCCTTCAAATAAGTTTTATAAAGAAGCCTAATTTGTAAAACTTTTTAAAATAAGGCTTCGGTAGAGTGGAACCTAGAGATCCAGTCACCTTTCCAGGGGCTTCTCCAAGGTCTCCTCAAAACACAGTTGGATGGGGGCTGGAGAAATGGTTCGGGTGGTAAGAGCACTTGACTGCTCTTCCAGAGGTCCTGAGTTCAATTACCAGCAACAGTGGCTTGTAACCATCTGTAATGTGAACCAGTTTCCTTCTTCTAATGTGCATGAAGACAGAGCATGCATACATAAAATACATGAATAAATAAATATTTTTTAAAAACACAAACTGGACTAGGAGGTTGTGGTTAAAGAGTAGCTATGAAGGAAGAGCTTGGGTTTTCCAACATAGAAAGAATAGTTACAAATGATTAAAAGAGTTAAGACTTGACCCTAATAATGGATTAATGACATACATAGAATTGAAGTTATGAAATTAAAAGTCAAGGAAATTGATCAGCTCTAGATTTAAGTTGAATATAATTGAATGTAAGTTGCTAATAATTTGTGTGGAGCTCAAGTGCATAAAATAATAGGAACATAAAAATTTAATTATTACTTAGCTCTGAAAAACATTCTGGGTAGTGTACTAGGACAAACAAATGAGACAATAATTGATAGTAATGAAAAACTTTCTCTTTAGATATCATAAAGCACATTGTTTATTTTACTTAATGTTATATAAAGATGTTCTTTACATTTAATGGTATCATTTTTAAGACAGTATATTTTTAAATAGAATAATAAAAAAAGGTTTACTTATATATTAAAAAAGGTTTTATTGCTCTTAAAAATATGTAGAGTGGGGGCTGGAGAGATGGCTCAGAGGTTAAGAGCCCTTGCTGCTCTTTCGGAGGACGTGAGTTCAATTCCCAGCAACCACATGGTGGCTCACGACCATCTATAATAATATCTGGTGTCCTTTTCTGATGTGCAGGCATACATAGAAGCAGAATGTTCTATACATAATAAATTAATTAATTAAAATGTAGAGTGTGTGTGTGTGCACATGGTTGATGTGTTTGGAAGTCAGAGGACAATTTGTTGGAGTCAGTTCTGTGCTTTCCCTGTGTGAGTTCTTGGGATGGAACTGAAGTCATCAGGTTTGGTAGCAATTGTCTTTGTCTGCTGAGCCATCTCACCACCACCTCCAAAAATGTTTTCATGCATTTTATATAAAATTTACTATAGAGTACAGTAAGTAGAGTAAAAGATATTTAAAAGGTGAGCTTAATATTAATACCAAATACTCCCTACTTCTGTGTGAAGTTGTTCCCTTTGTGCTTCCTCAAAGATAGTGAGGTTCAAATAAATTCAGAATCCTTTAGGAACATCATGATCTATCAACAGATGATATTGCTTTACTCTGGTCTGTGGCCTCTGGACTACATGCTATGGGTCTTGCTTGGGTTAGGAGGGGGTTGTTGTTTTGTAGGGGGTTTTGTTGAGGCTTTTTTTCTAAGGCAAAAATGACTGATCATTGTATCCTTGTCTAAGACATGCCTCATTGTCTTCAAGTACTTTTTTGGCCAATGAATTCTAAACATAGAGTACCCATAATCACCTCAGTATTGGATTGAAAAGTGATTTGAAAACTATTGGCAGGAGTGGAATATAATTATTAAATTTACTGCAGAACAAGGGAAGGTAGTGAAGTTGGCTTTTTGTCAAATGGCAGTAGTTTTATTAGAAAAAAAAAATCATCATTTGCAGGGCCAGAGTGAAAGGAGGCTCCAAAGATCCATTCTTTCCTAATTATAGTTTCACCTATACATATTATGCAAAGCTAATATTTAAAGCATTTGCCAAAATTAACTTCCTCTGCATGTCTTTTATAGCACAATGAATTGCAGCAGCTTTTTATGGCTTGCTGCTTTTGTATGCCATAATAATCTGTAATTATGGGTTTGCTGCAAATGATGTAGGCTTGTTTAATGTGACGATCTGAACAGATAACCCTGACTAGCTTGGGTTTATTTAATGAATGCTAGTTATACAGTGCCTTAGAAGCATTGGTATCTCCATTCTGCATTTTCTACCAGACTGGTTATCTTAGAATTTCATTCTAGATTTTAAATTAAAGGATTTTATGTTTTCTTTCTGTCTTAGCAGGTTAAGTATGTGAGAGGTGTTTTCCTTAGTTTACTGCTCAAAAATCTAAATAAATCTAATTGCCCAATTGACAACTTAAAAGATTTTGATCTTTTCATGTAGATGCATATGTCCTGGATTTAGAAAAGCAACTTAGGAGAAAAAATGATTGTGCACATATCTAAATTTGAAATTTATCCTTTAAGTATTATCAATGTTGGTAATTATAGTAGTTTCATGGCTTGCTGTTTTGTTTCCTTTTTTGATTCTTTTTTCAGTTTTTTGTTATGTATAGATTTATTTATTTGTTATGTATACAGTGTTTTGCCTGCATGTATGTCTGCACACCAGAAGAGGGCACTAGATCTCACTATAGATGATTGTGAGCCACTATGTGGTTGCTGGGAATTGAACTCAGGACCTCTGGAAGAGCAGCCAGTGCTCTTAACCTCTGAGCCATCTCTTCCACCTTATTTTTGTTCTTTTGAGCTGGGTCTTACTATGTATTCAGGCCAACCTTGCGCACCCCCTGATTCTCCTGCCTCAGCCTACCCAAGTACAGGATTACATACATGCACCTCCTTGTCCAGCCCCACAAACTCTTTTCATCTAAATTCCCATTGTCTCCTCCTCTGGGCAGAAGATGTATAGAGTTGACTAATGTCTAAGCTTGGGGGTTTATGTTCTACAAAATGAGCTGAGCCACTTTGGATGCATGTACAAGGCTTAGAATAATAAATACAAAATAAACAATTCAATTTTGATAGCATGTCAAGGGATACAACTTTTAGATATTTCTCTTTTAGACTTCCTCTTCTGGCATGAATATTAGTACATCCTTCGCAGCGCCTGTGCTCCTCTCAGTCTTCCTAACACCACTCCAGAGCTGGCCTTTACATCAGCCCACTGTAGGATTTCAGCAGAAGCTTTGTTTTGGTACATTCACCTCAGTATCAGGTTTATTACTCCTGGGTATGGTGACCTCGCAGGGCCACCTTCCTTCTAGGAGCTACCTACCCAGCTTACCCTCAAGGGAACTCAACCTGGGCCATGGACCCAAATAAATCTCAGAATGTATTTACTTAGACTTTTGTACATCTCCACGTTTCCCTCCGAAAATGATAAAGTACTTGTCTGTGTACCCCACTGCCCAACATTTTAGCAGTTGGCTTTGCCAAGTGATTATCTAGCTTTTTTCCCTCCCTCTTTCTATGACTTTCGTCTTCCTCTCCTGTCTTAGTTACTTTTCTATTTCTGTGATAAAATGTCATGACCAAGGCAGCTTACAGAAGGAAGGGTTTATTTGAACTTAATAGTTTCAGGATTGGAGACCATCACTATTATGGCAGGGAACATGGAGGCAGGCAGGCGGGCAGGGTGTTGGAGTGACAGCATTTGGAAGCCCATTTCCAGTGACATATTTCCTCTATCAAGGCCATACCTCCTAATCCGCCCCAAAATAGCCTCCAACTAGGGACCAAATATGCCAATGCCTAAGACTTATGGGGGGTCATCTCATTCAAATCACCCCACGTTCTTTCTCTTTCTTCCTTCAGGCCCTAATGAATGACATCTTGCCTTCCAGTCCTCTCAAACTGCTGTGTTGTCTGAGTTTTCTTACTTAACTCTTTCATATTCATACTCATATGACAATGTTTAGCTGGTTTCCTTAATATGAATAGGGGAGGAAAAAATGCTTTTCACATGCTTCTAGACTAGACCATATTGATCCCCAAAATTTACTTTAAAAACCATAATACCTAAACAAATAGGCACATCATCAGCTTTTAACTTTTTAATTTTGTTTTGTTCATATTTTTTGTAAAGCACTGAAGATCAATCTTAGGGTCTTGCTAGGTAAATGTTCTGCAACTGAAACTACATCCTCAACCCGTATTTTTTAGGTTTATTTATGTGTATATTATATGTATCTTAGCTGGTATATGCACCTGAGTACAGTGCCCAAGGAAGCAAGAGATAAATTGTGTCACTTTTGGGCCAGAGTTACAAGCAGTCGTGAGCCTCCTGATTTGGATGCTGGGAGCCAATCGTGGATATCCTCTGGAAAAGCAGCAAGTACTCTTAACTAATGATTCATCTCACCTGCCCCCATAGCTCATATTTGGAGCTTAACCTTTGAGGTTTCCTTGTCATATGAGGGTACACTGTTCTCTATTTAAATTCATTCTCATTCTTGAAGTTTAACTCCGATATCACTTTTCTCTGACATACTTTTTATCATCAGTAGAAGCCAGAATGAACTGGCATTTAAAGATGCTGCAGACTATGTCTCTAAATCTGGAATGTCTTCATGAGATAAACATATCAGTTGGATAGATTTCATTGGCTTTTTAATCTGTGTGTGTAGTGTATTTCAGGGAATTGATTTCTGATACTTGTGATCTTCAAAGGTGATCTTCATGTAAAAGCTTTTGTTTAAATTGTGAATCCATTAGCAACAGTTTCAGAAGGGCTACTATTCCTATAATAAGGAAGCTAAATTATATGTATTAACGTTTATTCAGATATTTGATTGTGATGTTAGCAATATGATAAAGTTCTCAGTTTTCTAATATGTTTTTGACTCCTAGGAAACAGTATTATTCCTACTCATTTGTGGGGTTCCCCCCCCTTTTTTTTTTTTCAGTGAAAACTCAGATGCAACAAGGATTGATCTCTATAGCAGCCCGTACTGTTATTACCCATCTGGTGAATCACTTGGGCCATTATCCAATGAGTGGTGGTCCTGCTATGCTGACAAGTCAGGTCTGTGAAAATCATGACAATCATTACAGTGAAAGTACTGAACTTTCTCCTGAGCTCTTTGAAAGTCCAAATATTCAGTTCTTTGTGCTGAATAATACAACTTTGGTGTCCTGTATCCAGATAAGAGCAGAAGAAAGTTTGCCTGGAGGAGGGTTAGCCGCTGGCCTTGTGTCAGCCAATTCAAATGTTAGAATCATAGTGCGTGATCTCTCTGGAAAGTACTCATGGGATTCTGCCATACTGTATGGGCCACCCATTGTGAGTAGTTTGTCTGAACCTACATCTTTCATACTTTCAATGTCTCACCAAGAGAAGCCAGAAGAGCCTCCTACATCTAATGAATGCTTAGAAGACATAACAGTAAAAGATGGACTTTCTCTACAGCTTAGAAGATTTAGAGAAACTGTACCAACTTGGTCTACAATAAGGGAGGAGGAAGATGCTCTTGACGAGCTCCTGCAATATTTAGGCACTACGAGTCCTGAATGTTTACAGAGAACTGGAATCTCCCTCAATGTCCCTGCTCCACAACCTGTGTGCATTTCTGAAAAACAGGAGAATGATGTCATTAATGCTATCCTTAAGCAATACACAGAAGAAAAAGAGTTTGTAGAGAAGCACTTTAATGACTTAAACATGAAAGCCTCAGAACAAGATGAACCAACACCTCAGAAGCCTCAGTCAGCATTTTATTACTGCAGATTGCTTCTTAGTATCTTGGGAATGAATTCCTGGGACAAACGGTAAGAAGAGAAGAGTTTTCCTTTTTTCTTTTTCTTTTTTTTAAATATTAGTCCTTATCTTCTGATCAAGAATTTTAGTCTCAGGTAACGGCAGGGCACACCTTTAATCCCAGCACTTGGGAGACAGAGGCAGGTGGATCTCAGTAAATTTGAGGCCATGCTGGAGAGATGGCTCAGTCGCTAAGAGTATGTACTACTTTTTCAGAGGACACAAGTTGAGTTCCTAGCATCCTGGTGAGCACCTCAGAACTGTGACTCCAGCTCCAGTGAGTCTTGCCTTGTTCAGGCTTCTTCAGGCATTGCACTCACCTGTGCACACCTACACACAGACACATACAGATGCACATAATTAAGAATACTCAAAAAAGTAGGAACTGAAGAGCTGGTTCAGTGGTAAGGAACACTTGTTCTTGCACAGGATCCAAATTCTATTCCTAGTTCGCAATTAGTGGCTAGCAGCTATCTATAACTCCAGTTCTAGAGAATCCCAGCATCCTCTTCTAACCTCTGCACCAAACATGCATGTGGTATACATATATACATGCAGGCAAAACACTCATACATAAAATAAAATAAATCATTTAAAAAATCCTTTAAAAAGAAAATAAAAGTGATATATTCTATATACCAATTAGTTGTTTTGACCAATAAGCAAATTGTCTAGGTTTGTTTGTTTATTTGGTTGATTGAGTGGTTTTGTTTTTCTTTTTTAACTGTTGACTCATATTAAAATCCAGGGGAATAAAAAGATAATTTAATCCAGTACATTCTTAACAGTTCCATAGTAACTACTGAAACTATGTAACTTAGCAATTATAGTCATATAATTGAAAAAATCAAATTTTAAACCTTTTTTTAAGCCTATCTGTTTTTAGCTGAGTACCAGTGTTTTCATTCCAAATTTTAATTAAGGAAGTAACTCAAAGTTCAGGATCAAATCAAGAAAAGAATGAATTTTTTTCTCCTCCTATTTTATTTCCCTATAAATGTTATAAAATGTTAACAAAAATTTAAAATAGAGTACAGGGCATGTTGTTACACCCTGTAATTCCAGCATTTTGGAGATGTGTAGGCAAGGCCAGCCTGGGCTATAAGAGACCCTGTCTCCAAAATCAAAACAAAATAACCTTATGATAGGGCTGGAAGTGTAGTAAAGTAATAGGGTGCAGCTAGCACTTGCAAGGCCTTGGGTTTAACCTCCAGTACAGAAAACACCAAAAACAAATATCTCACAATAATTAAGTTAGAACTTAAATGAAAAGAACATTTGACTTAAGTCAAAACTAGGTTAAAGATACTTTGTCTTTGAACTTTGGCCTATAGTGTCAAAATTGAGAATGATTTTTATATCAATACTATAAAGAAATAATGTGCAAAAACTCTTAGGATTTACATAATATAAAGCATTACTAGTATATGTTTAGGTCTTTTGTTTGTTCTGGTTTTTTTGAGACAGGACCTTATATAATCTAGGCTAGTTTTGAGCTGGCTTTGTAGCTGGAGATGACCATGAAGCTCTTGATCCTTCTGTCTCCACCTTTCAAGTGCTAAGACTACAGGTATGTGCCAACATGCCTGGCTGCATTTAGGTTTCGTTGCTGTTGTTTCAAATAGGAATTGAACATAAACCCTTAAGCATGCTGTGCACAATCTCTATATTTTGTTTATAATTTTTGTGCTATCAAAAACTGTAGGGGAGTAGAAGGTGACATATTATTTACTTTATCATTAAACAATAGAAATGATATATATCATTTCTATTCAGCTTATACAAGGGAAAGGCTTGGAAGTGACTATAAATAATTCTGTAACACTCTAGATACATGTGAGGCATCAAAATAGACCTGCTTTCCTTCTTGCTTAGTAGTTATATTTTCACTTGATTTAAAACCTTCCATTTGTTAAGCAGTATTCTTGCCTAAGCCATTTTACACTACTTTTTCAATTATTTAATGAGGTATAAGGCATATGTATGGAAGTCAAATGACTGACTAGAGTCATTTCTGTCTTTCCACCAGGTAAGTTCCAGGGATTATACTCAGATTCAGGCTTAATACAAGATACTATTACCTGCTGAGTCACCTCTACAACCCCCTAAGCCATTTTATATAAAGAACATAGTTTGTCTTGTGTTGCAGCTGACTACAGATAATTGTCATTTAGTTATTATAGAAATGCACTCTAATTTCTTGCTATGGAATGATCTATATATTGTCTCCTAAGAAAAGTTAAAAATGAAAAGCTGTTTTTTATGACAGTATTAATTTTATCTACATATTTAGTACACATAAAGTAAAAATTCTGTGTTTATTCATATTTTTAAAAACACATAATAGTACTGAGGGTATATAATATATGTGTATATGCACACACATATATGTAATAATAGGACTGAGAGTGTGTGTATTATATCTATATATTACATTGTGTGTGTATGTGGAGTAAGCCTAGTATGTGTAAGCCTCTGATTTGATTATCTTGCACCACAAATACAACACAAATGTAATACCTGTAATATAAAACAAGGGGGGAAAACAAATTCTTACAAATCCTTGAATCCATTTCTCTGGTTGTAAGTTTGGGGTGCTCACAACATCTACAAGGAGAATTTGAACTGGCCTTGATAAGGTAGGTACATCATCAAATGAATGAGGCCTAGCAGAAATAATGACATGTATTCTTTACATTTTTTTTAGGGTCTGTTCTCCTTTGTGTTAGAAGTGTGAAAAGGCAAGAAAAGTGTAAAAAGTTGCATGAGTAGAATGGGAAGTATTTCCGGACTGTCATGTCCTTCCCTGCAAAGGTGATGAAATGTTTATAAATCTCTCTATTTAGGAGGAGCTTTCATCTCCTGAAGAAAAATGAAAAGCTGCTCAGAGAACTTAGGAACTTGGATTCAAGGCAGTGGTAAGTTGTTGGGAAACTTTCCTATTTACAACTGGAAACTCTCAGCTATCTCTGTTGACAGTAATAGTGAGTAGCAATGTATAAACTGTAATACTGTACTGTTGAGTTACAGCTTTTTAATGGAAACTGTACCATTGTACCTTACATAAATTAATTTTAAGAAAAATTTAGAACTGCATTAAGATGTTTGATATGTTTGGATTATATTCTTCGTGTGCATTTCACAATCCTCTTGAATTGGAGAAAACTAATTGAATGTGTAAAATATCCTTAGATTCCTATGCCATACGTAATCATAACTCACTCACTGTTGTGGTGCTTAAGGTGGATTGGAAAGCTAATTTGAAACAAGCCGCCTGCTGTGACATCACTATTGTATAAGAATTCAAAGTGAAATGAGCTGATGTGCACTTTTGCTGCATGAATGGCTCCACATCTTTCAAAGCCCTATCCTGAGCCATTTTTTTCACTTTCAGTTCCAGAAAAGTTACCCTTTTACATCTCTGATTTACATATCTTCTGCCTATGTATGATCCTCTTCAAAAAGGAATCTCTTTGTCTTATATTTCTTTGTATTCACAAATGTGCTTGACACACTAGAAAAGAGGGAACTTCAATTAAGGAATTCCCTCCCTGGGATTGGCCTGTGCATATCTGTGGGGCATTTTCTTGGTTGCTAACTGATGTAGGAGAGCCCAGCTCATTGTGGACAGTAACATCCTTCGGCAAGTGGGTCTAGGTTGTGTAACAAAGGTAGTTTAGTTATGAGCCTGGGAGCAAGTCAGTAAGCATTGTTCCACCATGGTCTGCGCTTCAATAACTGCCTTGTTTTTGTCTTGCCTTACCTGGGTGGTGGACTGTAACCTGTAGGATGAAATAAACCCTTTCCTCCCCATGTTGCTTTTCGTCAGAATCTTATCACAGCAATAGAAAAACAAAGTAGTGCAACTTTTAAGTTACAGTCCTTATTCCTTTCACACTGTTTTCTATCAAATGTCACCGTTGACTCACTTCCTATATTTCCTAACTGGTTTTTGTTGAGGGGCTTTTGGCTTTCTTCAGCATGGTCTTTTTAATTTTTTGGCACTTACTTGTTTGCTGTGTGTGTGTGTTTGTGTTATGTGTATGGTAAGGATTATTTTATATTTTGGAAGCTGTTTAACTTTCAGTTTTCAGTTTTCATCTTTCTCAGTATTTTTCTTTGCATTTCTTCAATTGTGCTTACAGAATTCTGTGTTGAAATCATTCATTCTATATGTCCTTATAAATCTTTATTTGGCTAAGATTGTTTTACTTTATATTTAGTCCTTTATTCTTTCTAGACTGTATTTTGGATTATGGCATATAAAGGCATCTACCAAGTCTGATGACCTGAGTTCAGTCCCTGTGACCTACATAGTGGAAGAAGAGAACCAACCACGAGAAAATATCCTCTAACTATCCCATGTGCACACTTATACACAATAATAATAATAATAATAGTAATAACAATAATAATAGTAATGAATAAAAACTTTAGAAAGGATAGAGCTGGAGAGATGACTCAGTGCTTAAAAGCAGGTACTGTACTTGCAGAGGACCTAAGCTGAGTTCCCAACACCCATGTCAGGTGGCTTACTACTTGCAGCCTTGTAACCCAGGTCTAGAGGACCTGACACCCTCTTTTTGCCTACACAAGCACTAATACGCACATGCACATACTCACATGCAGATATACATATACATAAATGATAACAAAAAACCAAATCTATATAAAAAAATAATTTTGTAAGATAATTAGAACTAGTTTGAATATTGGAAATGACCTATTTCTATAATTTGTTAAATTACCCCTAATCTTTTCTATTGATTTACTATTGCCTTTATCAAATATTAAGCTTTGTGCTTTCAAAGCTATGTGTATTTCTATTGATTTATCTATTGTTTTGAATATATATTACTGTTTAATTTATTACAGCTACCTAATACATTTTTCCATGCATAATTACGTTAATGTCTTTTTACTTATTCTGACACCCAAACCTTACTTATGTGAGTAATTCCTTGTTATTTTGCTATTCCATTGTTAATTCTAACTAGGATCCCCACTGTTATATTTTTAACATTTTGGTTGTGAGCCTAGCCTTTAATGGCTGAGCCATCTCTGCAGTCCCTGATATTATGTATTTGGGTTTTTTTTTTCATTTTTAATGTTTATCTTATGTCCAATACTTTCATGAGCTTTCATACTGCTTTTAAGCATCTCTTAGTTTTAGTCATCTCTTTCTCATAAGATTTTTTTAGGTATACAATCATTATCTGCAAACAATCTCTTTTCTCGTAGTTTCATTTATGTATTGTTGCACTGAACAGAATTTCCAGGTTATTGATAAGCAATGTAGAAAAAGTGGATGGACATCCTGCCTGCCCTGATTGTAACAAGAGTAACTCTTCTTGCCTTTTTTCTTCGGGAGAAGCTATTGGTTGTTTGCTTAAAGTAGACCATTTTGATTATGCTATGAAAGCAGTTTAGGCTGTAGGATTTTTCAGTAAATATTAAAATAAAATGGTGGTGGTATATTTGTATCAAAATTCATTTTTATTTTTGAGATATTGCGTAAGTTATAATTAGAAATTAATGAATAGAAAGAGAACATAGGTACTGAAGAGGGAGCTCAGTAGTTGGTAAAGTACTTACTCCCTCTCCTCTTCAGAATTCTTTTTAGTCTCCATTCAGGTGCTCCTGTAGTTTGAATTTCTTAACTAATAGTTGTCTATTGTACTTCAGTATAAAAGCACAATTTCAAGAGCACTTGTTGCACTTTAGAGGACTCAGGATTGACTCCCAGTGTCCACATAGTAGTTTACCCACAAGCCCTGGGGTATCCAAAGCCCTCTTTGACCTTCATGAGCACCAGGCACACACTTGATACACATATATACATGCCGAATGCAGGCAAAACACCCTTACACATACAGTTATAATAAATAAGTCTAAAAAGAAATTCCCTCTAATCCATTGACTTACTGCATTTGGTTTACTAAAATTTCATTTTATAACAAGCTATACACCTTTTATTAGCAGGTTCTGCAGATTTTTTTGTTCTGTCCTCTGTAGGTTTTTAGATTTAAGTGAGCCTCATAAAATCAATATTATCTGTTACTTAAAATTCCAGATTTAAAATAATTTCCCTTTTGTCTTTTTCAGATTTTGTTTCAGCTTGTGGGTCAATTTCATTATGTCTTGTTTGTTTTACAAAAATCTATTTTATTGAGATTTTCAATAAATAAGAATAGAGAACTTTTGCTTATTTAGTATTTATTGCACCTACCAAAACTTTCAGCATGTCATAATTCTGTATTCTATTCCCTTTCTCAGCTTAGTTTTTTAAAATAAAAAAGCAAACTTTGCTATTGCAGATTTAATTGTGTATGTGTGTTCATGTGTGCACATGATGATGTACGCATATATGCAACTGCACATAGAGACAAGGGACAACTTTGGACATCATTTCTCAGGTGTCATCTACCTTGTTTTTTGAACAGGACTTCTCACCGGCCTTAAGCTTGTTGGGCTTAGCTGGTTGGTTAGGGAACCCCAGGATCCACCTATTTCTTCTTCTCAGGCACTGGTATTATTTTTTTCCTTTTTTTAAAAAATTTAAATTAGAAACAATTTTATTTTTTATATCAATCCCAGTTCCCTCTCCCTCCCATTCTTCCATGCCCCCCACCAAACCCCATCCCATCCCTCTTCCGCTCCATAGAAAGGGTGAGGCCTTCTATGGGGAATCCTCAAAGTCTGTCACATCATTTGGGGCAGGGCATAGGCCCTCCCCCGTGTGTCTAGACTAGGAGAGTATCCCTCTATGGGGAATGGATTCCCAATGACCATTCGTACACTAGATGTAAATGCTGTTCCATTATCAGGGGCCCCATAGACTTCCAGACCTCCAAACTGACACCCATGATCAGAGGGTCTGGTTCCATCCTATGCTGGTTTCCAAGCTGTCAGTCTGGGGTCCATGAGCAACC